GCGCCAACCCACGGGTACCGAGAGCTGCGCTTGCACGGACCCGACTAGGTAAAGCGGCTTTGTTTGACCACATACGGAGTACACTCTGCCGGGCTTCTTTTCCGCCGGAATGAATCCGAGTCTATCCGTATCGTGTGATTTAGTATTAGTGAAGCATGGAGAACGAGAACGTTGGCGCAGATTATACCCTCCTCCCTTTTCACGATCCGGGATAAGATTAGTAAGAAAAAAAAGAAAGAAGCTTTATAAACTAGCTTTATAGCATATCAGAAGGGCTCCCAAAACTATAGTGCGTGACAAATGAGGCACTTGTTTTGTTATGGACGTCGTGATATCACTGCAATAGGTAGAGTTCTTAACATATATGTTAAGCTAGCCTAATGGTCATAGTGACTCTTTTTGCGTTCATTCTCTGCAAAATATAGTGAGATTTGACAGCGGACATACAAGGTGGGAGGATACAAGGTTTTGTCAAATTAGAGTGGCTTGTTTATTCTTACATCAGGAAAATCCTGCTTCTGCACTTCCAGGCCATTCCACAATGCTTCTAACCAACTGCAGGTCATTTTCAGAGCTCGGAAATCAGAATAAAAGCCTGTATTACTTGCATACGCACATACTCAGCCAACAATGCCCAGCGTCATGGGCCTTTCCTATAGCACTCGATAGGACATAGATATCTCGAAACAACACCGACCCCTTTCAATTCATACATGGCGGTCTCTTGTGGAATTATTCCGCTCGAGCGCCTGTAACGCTTTTCGCATACGAATAATGGCAAGTACCGTCGCATCCGGAACTTCTGTGAAGACGAGGCGAAAGTGGCCTGGGCTTTCCGAGCCCGCAAACTTAAAAGGCGTCAAAACCACTAAGATCTTCCAACATGAGACTATGTACGCACCTGTCCAGCATTGAGAAAGACGCCATGATCGATCAACCAGCTGCAGAGTCGCAGCTCAGGCGTAGCATGGCCAGCCTCTGGGGACCCATCGGTCTCAAAGTATACTAGCCACTTGCTGAGATTGATATACACAAACAGTCCGGCCTTAGCTCTCTGGTACGGTATTCCGTTGCTCCTGAGAGCGGTTACAGTAGTTGCATATTGCTCACCCAGGCGACGCTGGTACAGTACCCTGTAGCTCTCGACCAGGTCCAGGTGCCCGAGGAAGCGGGCTATGAAGGAGTCTGGAAAGGCTGTGACCCATGTGAACCAACTGCATCGCATTCATTTAGTGGGATATAGAGCCAGAATATTCTTGTCTAACTCACGTTGCTCTCGTAGCTGCGTTAAAAATGTCCGCGTTCCGAGTAACGAGGAATCCCATCCGCATGCCACCCATATTGAAGTCTTTGCTCATTCCGTACAAACAGTGAACGTTATCCTTTAGTACGCCATCCGAGGGAATACTCAGTACCGAGCAGAAGTTCTGCATCTCTGAGTTTTCATCATGGTCAAAGGTGGAAAGGGCATATATCTCATCAGCCACAAGGTGCATACCTCTACGAGCGCACCACTTGGCGAGGGCGTAGAGTGTCTTGGGAGAGTAGCATCTTCCAGTGGGATTCTGAGGGTTGCACAGGAAGAGGACGCGACATTTGATGCCCTTGGCCTCGGCATCTGTAGCCGCATCTTCAAAGGTACACACGAGCTGCTCGATATTGCTCTCACCATCAGAATCCTGTAGCCCAGAGGTTGAGACGGGAATGGCAGTGACGGAGGCACGAATTGTCAAGTCTGTCTCAAGCATGTAAAAGTTGGGCGTAGGATAGAGTACCCCGTCCCCCTCGTCACATATCGTCCAGGCGATGAGGTCGATAAGAGAGGTGACACCAGTGCCCGCAAGCACATGAGATGGCAGCACAGGGGACGAGGGTTTGAAGAAACGATTAAAAAAACCGGCAGCGGCGGAACGAAGTTGATCAGAGCCATAGAGAGGGCCATAGTTAACAATAAACTTGACATGCAATGGTGGGAGCGAATTGTAGTACTCCTCCATCCAGTCATCCATCAAGGCATTGAGGGCCCCGGATAGATCAATGATACCGGCAGGCTCGGCCACGGGGTCGTAATGGGGAATTTGCCCAACCTTTTCCATCAAGTCCCATGCCAGGCCTTGATTGAAGCTGGCCAGCGCCCTGTGCGAGGGCCCAAAATCGAGCATCATGATAGCAAATGGTGAAAGTATGATTGATGCCCGCTACCAGCGAGAAGGGCATTGCATACAAATCTTACAAGATATACAGTGAAGGGTTCCTATAATAGGCGAACAAGCTACCCTATCTTGCACAGACACTAGACTCGAAGGGGTGCGATCAAGCGCACACCAAGAACTTACGGTGGACCTAGTCCGGCTTTAGGTTCCCCCAGATCCCGATCCCCAGGGTCCTTCCATGACCCCATGGCCTGGCTCCACCCTTCGTTCGTCAATGCCATCTTTCCACAAACTTATTTCCAGCCGTTCATCATGTACGGTCCAACGCCCCATCGTCCCTCCAAAACTGGGACCAGACGGTCCAAGTCGGGATGCGTCTCATGCAGGAAGAAAAGGCGAAAGGTTCAGCTTCCTCGAGACATGTGCGCGCGCGCTCTCAGAGTTAACAGATGCTTAGTGTGATGAGTCCAAACCGAGATGTAACAGATGCCTCAGTGCCAACATTGAGTGCTCCTACAACACCAGGGTCGAGTTTCGCGATGCAACTGTTTGGGCAGCACAGAAGGTCAAGCGGAGGATCATTCACGGCCCAAAAGAGCACGGATCCCCTACTCCTCCAGAGAGTCAGAATCGCCATTGGCCCTGCTTCCAACCATCCCCTCCATCTGAGTGTGACATGATCAACTATAATGACATACCGGCTTCTGCTGGGGAAGTCACAGACTCTCCCAATAATCATGTCGAGAGTAACGATGTGAATAAGAAACAAGATACCGACCTGGACGGACACGTCGCATCCGACGATATCCACAAGAGACAGTCAGATCGTGGGCAAACTGTTCAGCCAGCAGAGCTTACTCCAAGCGATAGACCGCTGCTAGGCCTCACGTCGCCGTCTACAGATATAGATATTGCTGCTTGGATGCCGACTGGCGTCATTAGTCCCTCGTGGGACGACTATGTGTCGAGCGACATGTTGACAGGCGATATGCTCCAACATATGCCCGATCAGGGAGCGCTGGATATAAATCTGGAGCCTTGTTATAATGAGATGTGGTGGAGTCTTATAGAGTCTCCTTCTTGCGTCGAACCTGATTCAACAGCTTCCATTCCTTCGACGTCGACCTTTGAATCCGCTGTTGGGCAGGAGGGTCAATTGGACAGCGTTAACTCGCCATCCGACGCCGTGACTAAAACATCGGTCCCCATTCTTGAGCAAACTATCTGGACTGCCCCATTGCCGAGCTCCATGCTGAATATTCCAGTCAGAGACCGCGTGTATCTCGCCCACTTCATGTCGCAGATGATCGACTTGATACCTGGCCAGATCAAATACCTGGGGAAGATGGCCATCCAATCAGAACCAATCCGTTTGTGCGCAAATGCCCTGGCTGCTGCAAACCTCGCCAATCGCGGTGGTAGATTCTCCAACGATGAAGCTGGCCGCTGGGTCCCCATGCAAACCCACTACGGCAGAGCGCTGAGCTTTGCATCCAGGAGCATGGACGCAATCCAGAGTAGCCCGGGCATCTTTCCAGGCTGCCGTATCGTCATGTTAATCTTGATGCTATGCTACCAGCTTGAACTAGGCTGCATTGGAGAGATATATCACGCACTCTCTGTACTTGATTCCGCTGTTTTCAGTAATAGAGATGCAATTCTCTCGCTGGAATTTGGCCCTGGCTTGGTTCAATCCTGGCTGGGCCTTCGGGCCCTCTGTGAGGGGACGCTTCAGCCTCTTGCCTTATTTAGAGGAGAGTCTCAAACAGAGCATGAAGTGTCAGAGCTACAAGATCTGACTACTAGGACATCGAAAGCGTTTGGCATAATAGCTGCCAAAGCCTATCGGATCAGTCGTCGCATTTTGCTCTTCAGATGCACGGGCGATAATGAGAAATCACCATCGACCATAGCGAGCAGGTTCAGTCAGTGGTGGTCGATTATCAAGGGTCAGGAAGCTGACGACATAACCGGGACACATGATTTAGGGAGTCATCTGTCTGAGGACAAACTGTTTTGCGAACTTGCACGCCTGAGAGACGCACTGGATATCTCAGAGGTACCTGCAGGCCTGCCTCTCAACTTCGACCCTTCGGTGCCTGCTCCATGCACCACAACGCCAGAGCCTCTGTATCTGGCTGACCATGAGCAAGCCATGGAGCTGGCGGATTATGCTTCAGCACAGATTGTCTGCGATGAGAGTAGCATACAGACCCTCGGATCCCCCGCATTCCAGCGGAGCCCTTCTCGTAATCCGTGGCTTCATCTGCTACTCCGCATCGCAGCTGGCTTGGACGTGGAGAAGTGCTTAACTCGCAACAGGTATCGCCAGGGGATCTGCAACTCCTTGCAGTGTGCCGTGTTTCTTCTGCAGGACTTGGAGGCCGCGCACTTTCTCAGTGGCCTGTTACAGCGACTCATGGATGTAGGCGGGTCCTATGAGGATTGTTTCACTCCTCTAAACCTGTTGTCACAGTGCAACAAGTTGTTTTGCCACGAGCTGATGAAGGGACGGACTGTCTTTATGTTGTGCCCTACGTATAACGCCTGGACTGCGAAGGATGTTCTCTTTTCCAGGGGAGATCAAGAATGCTTTATTACATTTGGTCGGGATGCTGATGGACTGTATCTGAAGGACATGGTGGAGTTAGAGGAATCTCCTACTGGTAACTTAGACATCCTATAGATTACTTACTTTATTGTATTATCTTACGTTTTCTTTTATTGTTATCGTCATTATAAGACTTGAGGTATATCTATAGGCATCGGTATAGAGATCAATTCATCTTATGTCACTATATAGAGATACAATACATAAGCTAAATGATATCTTTATACTTAATAGGCCTAAAGCTCATTAGAAACCTTCCTATCAGTCCTGCGCGGTTGCCCTTGGAAAGAATCTAGTCTGATCCAACTTCTTACCACTGCACCTACGGCCTCGGACTGGTCAAAGGGGCAAGTATGTCCAGCTTCATCTACAGTGAAAAGAGCGAGACGTTCGTCGCCTTTCCAAGTTCCACCCTGCCTGGCTTTCTTGCTATCGGGGCTGGAGGAGAGCTCTCCATCTTCGACATACCAGTTGCTGTAGCGCTGAGCCCGATACCAAGCCTGTCGACTCCAAGGCTGTTCATCGAGGAGCCGCATCTGACCCGGAGTGCTACTAGAGTAAATGTCAGCTTCCCATGTTGCATTCCGATTTGTTCATACTGTGCCAACGAGTCAGTGGTGAGGCTTACATGATAATATCATTGTTACCGTTAATGAATAGCACGTGGATGTCAGTCTCGTCGAGTAGCCACGTTAGTTGTTTCGTGGTAGGAAGGTAAATAGTTCCCTCAGTGTCCCACTGTCTGTTCAAATCAAAGTCAATGAGCTCAAATGCAACATCAAAGAATCCTAGCCGTTCTTGAACCCATGGCCTGTTGAGGAACTGAAGTGTTGCTCCGCCGTCCAAGTCAGAACAAATAGGTGGTTCAACGCATTTCTTTCTGCCTGTCATAAAGTCAGTGCTCACCTCCTGCAATCCAGACTTTGCACCAGTGCTTACTGTCGTACGGGTTCCATCCCCCGGGCTTGACATTTTTGAGAAAGTGTTTACCCACCGTCCATTCGCAGCGAGTGGCTGCTAAGTGGCAAACTTCTACGTCGAGGGTCTGGCGGCAAAGCTCTCCCAGGCGCTCACATTCAGGCACATGTGAAGCCATCTCCTCACACTCTCTGGTGCTCATAAGAGGTTCGCTCCCATCCTCGCGCCAGTCCTGGCAGAAGAAATCGTAGTAGCCAGCACTTTGTCTAGTTCCATCGATATAGCCATCAACTATGATGGCCGAAGAGACGTTCAGGAGAGGAGATTTGTGGAGTTTCTCGTTGAGGAGATGATGGAGGTAATAGGTGACGTAGTGGCCACCGAAGGACTCCCCAGCGAAATGCCATGGCTTGGAGGCAAGCTCAGGGAATACTTCGCTTACGAAGACAGATAGAAACTTTTCGTGTTCCTGGGCTGCCTCGTGGATATTCTTGGCCATGTTATCGCGACTCTTAACTTTTGAGAACCCCACGCCAATAGGCTGACTACAACCCAACTGTTAGTACTACTGTGTCTAAGCGCCAGCATGCTGAAAATGGACTGTACTCAATGAATAGGACATTAGCGTGGTCTGTCCATGAATATTTGTTGCGCGAAGTAGAGTTTCCATCTTTGTTGACAGAACATGGCCCAATATCCTTGAATAAGCCAAGCTCGCCAGTTGCTCCAGGGCCGCTTCAAAGAGCGATTAGCATCAAACGCTCCAAGCATGGGGAGGGATCCATCTTACCCGCTCATCCATAGGATAACCGGCGCGTCTTCTGGCTGGTTACGACTCTCGAAATACCCTAACTATTAATCGTCGTGGCTGTAGTAAGTGGAGTAGCTGACGTACAGAAGAACATGGACTTTTCCTCCGTCACGCTGACCGTTCCTGTCCATTGCCGCGACCCCGCGTCACAAATATCCGAGGACTGCTGGGTGATACTGAAGGTTGGCTTCTCCTCCTGAAGAGCCGCCAAAGCCCACTGAAAAGGGTTGCCTTGAACGCCTGCGATGACCTGGAGGAGGGCAAGACCACAGAGTGAGAGCATGGCGAAGGACATGACCTTAATTCGGGAGTAAAATGGGCTGGTGAATGCTAATCTGTCAGGGTCGAATTGAAGAAAGAGATTTACTGAAAGCTATAAAACTCGAGTCTCAGATTAATTATTGATGAATAGATCTAATATTTACATAATAATTACTTACCTTTCTATGGGAATGGTTGGCCTTCCTTCTTTCCTTGTCAGGTCTCTTGTGGATCTGCGTAGGCCATATTCCAAGCGGCGCTAGTCCCGAAGAGGTCCTCACAAGCGTCCTGGGTCTTCGCTCCTTCATCGACGCTCACTTTTAACATCCATGGATCGGCTAAAATCAGAACCGACGAGCAGCACATTCTCACAGCAACTACATTCGATAAGCCAACCTCGCCGCAATGATAGCATCACATATCACCAAATGCACACTCTTCGCAGCCATAATAACCCTTGTGGGTGGGCAGGCTGTGTTGTTTCCCAGCCAGAGTGAGTTCGCAGCCTCAGAAACACCTGGACTGCCCTCGTTCTCAGTTCGAGCCAGCAACGTAACGGCCGCCGTATGCAACAGCTCCACGCCGGGCTTGTCTGGCTTTGTCGATACTCCGGAAGATGACTCCCATGTCTTCTTTTGGCTCTTCGAAAGTAAAAACGATTTCTCCAAGGATCCCATCATCCTCTTTATGAGCGGGTGCGTTATAAGTTGGATTCTAGTTAAAAGCAAAATCACTGATTAAAGACATGACACAGAGGCCCTGGGGCTTCGTCAACTGGATTCGGAAACTTGATGGAGTTAGGTCCCTGCCGTGTGACGACTGATGGAAGCGAGACTGTTAATAACCCCTACGGTTGGAACACTAACGCGACCGTGCTATTTGTTGAGTAAGTAATGCTGGCGAAAGATCAATTCTGAGACAACGTTCAAGACACCATGCTAAACCTTTGACAGCCAGCCAGTCCCTGTCGGCTTCTCGTATGGTAAAACAATGCCCAAAGGGCTTGCTGAAGCGAGCAATGCTATGGACCGCTTCCTGCGACAGTTCTTGATGGCCTTTCCTGCCCTGGTTGACCAAGACTTCTATATCGCGGGTGAGTCCTACGGTGGCTCCTGGGTTCCGGCTCTCGCTGCAACCATCGTTGAGAGACAGACCCGCTCCGATTCCCAAGAGGGAGCTGCCGTCCGCTATCCGAGCATGCAGAGGACTTTGGCTACGGCTCGACCGAGAGATATCAACATCAAAGGCATCATGATTGGAAACGGCCTGGTCAAATTGCCTATCCAGAACCCTGCTACTCTGGAAGCCGCATGCAGTGGCCCTGATTCCATCCTCAACTCATCGCAATGTTTGGAATGGGCGCCGCGATCTCTGTGGTGCGAGCAGAATCTTGTCGTCTGCGACTCGCGAGGCTGGATGTCTGATGAGTGCAAGCACGCCCAGAGTCTGTGCAACGAGATGAGTGATTTGGTCACCGGCGAGATGGGCCGCAACCCTTTTGATTGGAGACGTGACTGTCACGGAGATGCTTTGAGCTGCTATCCGGAACTCGCAGCAGTAATGAAATACTTTGATCGAGGGGATGTTAAAAAAGGACTTGGCGTACCTGCTGATAGGAACTTCACCGGGGTGTCCCAAGATGTATATGACCAGTGGGAGGCGATTGGGGATCTCTGGAAGCCAAGCGACCATTACGTCAACTACCTTCTAGACAAGGTAAGTCAAACCACATCCCGAGTTTGCAAACACATACTTACGCCTTGCAGAACTACCGTGTTCTCATCTATGTTGGCGACAAGGACTGGTACTGCCACGCCGCCGGCATGCGGCAGCTTGTCAACCACGGTCTGGTGTGGAACGGGCAGCCCCTCTTCAGATTTCGTGAGCTGACGCCTTGGTACTCTGGCGTGAAAGTGGCCGGTCGGGGAAAAGCTTTCCAGGCGCTAACGTATGCCGAGGTCTATGGTGCTGGGCACCTCGTGCCTTACGACAAGCCTGCAGCTTCATTAGCCCTTATTAACGCGTGGGTGTCACAGACTTTACCATGGTAGAGGCTAAGTATATGTATGTTGATATAAAGATCAAGAACATATTAAACTTGTTATTCAAGAGCAAAATGTCGTTGTAGAGCAATACGCGAGATATGGCCAGCGGGTCGCAGATGACAATATAACCCAATGAGATCCTTATTTTCAGCATACCATAATAAAAGGCATCATATACTATGCCAAAGAACACAATATAAGCTTATTGTATATATTAGCTAATGTTTTTCTTGAGCCTATAAAGGCTTGTTGGCTTATGCCAAAACTCAAGATAGAGCTCTTTATAAATAACTTAGCTAATACAGGTAAATACACTTGTTAGCTATTATATTACTGTGAACCATAAGCCTTAAGGGGCCAACAGGATAGAGAGGTGCTTAAATTGACCCCTTTTGGTATTATCATGCTGGTAGGTCCACCCCAACCGTTGTAGGACGACCAACTTCGATCCACCATAGATTAGGCTAATACGTAGTCGCTGGGTAAAAGAAGTACTGCTAGATGGACCGTCACTCTTGTCTATTAAGCTTCCAAGTCCGTTTACTAGGTAGCTATTGATTCAACCTAGCATCACCAACCTAGATTTCTCGTATCGCAGCTGCTGTGTTGTGCTTCAAGATGAGTATCTTTTCAATCTTTACGTGAGCACCACTTCACTGTTCCCTGATGAACACCGCACCTGATAGCGTATCTTAGGCTCTTTTATTCCGGGCTTACATTTGCCTACATCCTTGGAATATTCCGTAGTTTGGCAAAGCTTGGTGCGAAAAAGCCGGAATACAGGAAAGTTTGGTACTGGGCCAGTTTTATCTGTGCCGTGAGTTTGACTATTCATTTATCATCTTTCGGAGACGGTCGTTGCTGATCATTAACGCCTTAGCTCACCCATATCGGTATCATAGCCATCTGCTTGACTATTGCTGTACTCCCCGACACGGGAGATGCAGCTCGTTGTCAAACGCCTTATCCTCTGCTCATTAGTACTGGCGCTGCCTCATTGGCCTCCCTGGCAGCCATAATCTTTGACCATGGAGAGACATTGCATGCGCTTTACACGCTCTCTGGAGCTTGTGCGTGGGGGGCACTGTGTCTTCTAGTGCCCGATGCCAGCAGGTTTCATCTGACGATCCCATTTCTCTTTCTCTTTGCCTTGATTGCAATTCTAGGCACTCCTTACCAGGTCCCTGACGGCGCTGGCAAGCATCCCTTGACCCATACGCCATTCTTACCAAGTATCACCCTATCTTGGCTCGACCCTTTACTGAAAAGGGCGACCCGCTTTGAACTATCGACGGAGCATCTATGGCCGATTGACGAGAAGCTTGGCGAACCTTATGCCTTGACAGAGGCCGACGCGTCTCTTCAAAGATGGCGTTTTCTTCTCCCAAAGGGATTACCTAGGATAATGCTCCTAGAATGCACTGGGCCATTGGTTAGGAGTGGACTGCTAGAGATGGTCGCCATCGTGACGGTCTCTCTCCAGCCCTTTCTGCTAGGTGCGCTTCTCGAGCAGCGCCGCTACACTTCTGTAATTGCCTTGTTCATTACTGGTATGGTTGGTGGCGCAGCAAGGGCACATGCGCGTTATCAGCTGCGCATGGCTGGTATGGGTTTGCGAGCAGCCTTGACGGCTTTGATTTGCGATAGAAACCTCGAGATTTCGAGCGCAGCCAGTGTCACTAATGCGCCTGACCCCGTCATTCTTATGGAAGTCGATCTGCCGCAGGTTTTTGCTCTCGTGGAGGCATTTCATACTACCTACCTAGCACCTCTGCAGTGTATCATCGGCTTCATCGCGCTAGCATATATTCTCACTTGGCAAAGTATGCTTGCAGGTCTTGGTCTTGTGGTAAGCCTTGTCAAGCTGGACACTTTCATGTAAAGCTGCTAACTATTTTTCTTCAAGGCTATCGGCGTACCTCTCTTCATGCTGCTTATGTCTCTTATTTCGCAACGCCTCTCCAGCGTCATGGAGGCCAAAGACGCGAGAGTCTCCACAGTCAACGAGATGCTGGCGCAGGTCCGACAAATTAAGCTCCAAGGATGGCAGTCGTTCTTCAATGCAAGGATTGATGCGATTCGGGCATATGAGCTAATGGAGGTCGGCCGAGTAGCGCTTCTCAATGGCGCTTTGGTAGCCCTATCTACCATCATACCCACAGGTCTAGTCGCCGTTACTCTGGTGACCTACAATGCCATGGGCGGTCAGCTGACCAGCCAGGTTATGTTCCCAGCTCTAGCCTTCTTCTTCAATATCAATAGTGGCTTGCAGGCTACTAGCCAGCTCGCTATGATATATCAGGCAGGAGTGATCTCTTTGGAAAGGATCAAGGACCACTTGATGCCTCTGGACGAGCCTATGCCCAGAAAGCACTTAGATGCTCTTTCGGTGGGGCCAAGTGTTATTGTGGAAGAAGGGACTATTTCTACCTGGCAGTCGGGGAACGGACATAGGTTGCTCCTCCGAGACATCAACTTTGAAGCTGTACAGAAAGGCCTGACCGTGATTTCCGGTCCTCTTGGCTCGGGTAAATCGACCTTTCTCCGTTCGCTTATAGGAGATGTCCGACAACTCGACAGCAACATCAAGATCAGTGGTACTATTGCATATTGCCCTCAGGTTCCGGTCCTCATCCACGGCACAGTACGGGATAATATTCTCTTTGGCCTACCTTATGACCCCTCCTTTTATCAACGTGTTATTGATGCAACAGCTCTAAGCATCGACTTACCCCGTCTGGCCCATGGTGACCAGACAAGGCTTGATGGTACTGGTGCAGCCCTCTCCGGAGGCCAAAAAAGCCGAGTGGCTCTTGCAAGAGCTGTCTACTCGCGACGCGATATCGTCATCCTCGATAATCCTTTGGCTGCTCTAGATACCAAGGTTCGAGCAGAAGTCATTGACCAGGTCTTGGGCCACAAAGGAATTCTACAAGATCAAATTCGCATCGTCACTAGCTCATGTCAGCCACTGATTGAGGCAGCTGACAGGGTGTACACTATTTCCGATCTTCGACTCCTGCAAGGCGCTGAATTCATTGAGGATCCATCTATTACAAGCTCCGCCGCGGAAGACCTTTCAAGGACTGAGGAGCTGTTGATTAGAGATGAGTCACTTGTTGTGCCGCCTACCAGTCAAGTTGGCTGTGGAACTTTCGACGCCAAGTCTATCGCGACCGTACATGTTACAGATGCCACAGAGGAGGCGCCACTTTTGGGGCGCCATCCTACAGAAGTCCTCGCCAGCGGACAGCCAAACGTCGAAGGGGTGCCGCTTCGGGTATACATCAGTTATCTGGGGATGGCAAACAGAGGAGGTTGGTATGTTGTAATTGTCCTTGCAATCATGGCCAAGCTCGCGGATGTCGTTGCTCTCTTTGTTCTGAGGTTGGCGACCGAAGGCGCTGAGGGTTTCCATTTTCTGGGGGCTTTTACAGCACTGAGCTCAGTGGGATCCATTCTCTCATTTGTCTTTGTCATGACTGCGTATTTTCTTTGTCTTATTCCTGCCTCTCGTCGCCTCCACGATCGTCTGACTAAAGCGGTGTTGGAGAGCCAATTTCGCTTTTTCGATGACAATTCGCCAGGGCAGATCCTCAGCCGCTTCACAAATGACATCAATAAAGTCGATTCTCAGCTTAACGCGGGCCTGATTCGGTTTGTGATCGCGGTCGTCATGGCTCTGGCACCCATCGCTGTTATCATCGCTACCGTCCCACTCAGTATTGTCTACTTGATTCCCCTCGGGTTCCTATACAAGTACGTCCAGGCGTTCTATCTCGGCGCCAATCGACAGCTTCGAAGACTCGAGAATGTCTCTCGTGAGACGATCATCAGTATTACAGAAGAAATGGCCACTGGTGCTTCCGTCATACGATGCTTCAATCAGGAGCAGCTTTTTAAGCAGCGAGCCAGAGATGCCATCGATGGCCACATTATCACCTCTGGGCCTTTTCAAGCCCTGAAAATCTGGCTGGACTTGAGGCTTCAACTGCTTGCAAGGTATGTCGTCGCAGGAGCGCAGCAGGCATCTCACTTCCTTGTTCTCTAGATACTAAAAGGTTATATCATAGTCTCGTTACTCTACTTTCCGCGACACTCATTCTATCTCTGAATATTCCATCCGGTACTCTGGGTCTGGTCATGAACTTTGTGCTCCAGATTACCAATCTTTTCAATAGCCTTGTCGAGGTTCGGGCAGGCCTCGAGGCAGATATCACCTCGTACGAGAGTATCCAGATGTATAAGGAGAACCACTCTGAGGAAGATGTCGGTGTCAGCCTCGATCCTCCTTTAAACTGGCCTTCGGAAGGGTCAGTCGTGTTCGACTCCTACACTGCCTCTTACAGGCCCGAGGGAAAGCCTTGTCTTAGATCCCTCAGTCTATCTATTTCTGGGGGAGACCATGTCGCCGTCGTTGGTCGAACCGGTGCTGGTAAGTCGTCCATCGTCTTGGCCTTACTACGAGCGATTGAAAAGGATTGCATGTATGGGAAAATCTGCATAGACGGGTTGAATATTTCGTCTTTAAGTCCGGGGGCGATCAGAAGACGTATCGCTCTCGTTCCTCAGGAACCGGTAGTTATTTCCGGGACGTTGAGAGAGAACCTTGATCCTCTGGGCGACATCGAGGAATCTGATCTACGGAGAGCACTGGCTTCCTGTCAGGTAATTGAGATACTCGGGATTCTCCAGGACGAGGACCCTCTCGAGCATAGAATATCAAGATCAAAGTGAGTGTCGGCAACTACTGCTTAGTACCTATGGGATCGAAAGAACCTGAACTAACATATTCAACGATCAAGCCTATCAGCTGGACAAACACAGGTTCTTGCACTGGCTCGAGCCGTCGCAGCCAAGTGCAAAATTATTATCTTAGACGAGGGTAGGATTACCCACCACACCTGTATTGTGTGAAAGCCAGGATCCGGGAACTAACTTATCGCAATCACAGCGACGGCCGCTCTTGACGCGAAAGTAGCAACTGCTGTGCGGAAAGTGCTTAAGTCGAAGTTTCGAGACTGCACTATGATCGCCATCACTCACGATATGGACTCTGCTGTAAGTCAATCTTTGTGTGTTGTTTACCTTTGACAAATTGTAACATTTTCTAGAAAGCATATGATCAAGTCCTTGTTATTGACCACGGGCGGGTGGCCGAATATGATACTCCCCAGGCACTGATACAGAATGGGAGGCTGAGCTTTTTATCTTGAAATCTACAGAGAAGGTCGCAAGTTATGATAACCGCAAATGTCGGCACGAACTGCTGCCCCTAAGAGGCCCTCGTAGAAAGATCACTTGCAGTAATTAAATATATTTCAGTAACTGTCTGGTAGTTTGAATTCTATATATTTCCAAGTAGATCAGGCAATTTTTGAAAGCTGGGTGTAACCACCTGTAAAGAAGCAGTGAAAGCTAATACATGTGTTATCTTAGTCGGTTGACACTCGAATAATAGGAATCTTATAACCTGTGTAAAGATTGCCATCCATAAAACAGCGTGACAAGTCATATCCTGGGTAGACCAATATCAAGCGCTGTTTACAGGTCCAAAAGTCGGCGATCTGGTTGCTTCCGAATTTGCACTGTAGATATTCATATCCTGCTCCTTCTGCGACCTTGCAAACCAACGGCGGCGCACCCTTGCCCTGAATCATGACAGGGCCGTAAGGGTTTCCACTTCCAGGTGAGTAATTGTACGAAGCAGACTGGCCAACTGCAGCGGCAGGTCCGTTGAGTGCTTTCACTTCGCCAGTTCCCTTATTTATGCTAAATTGCTGAACGCTGGAGGGATCGGATTTGAAGTCCAAGTAGAATGAGGTGCCTTGCGAAGACTCAAGGGAGGTAAAGCCAATCCCGTTTGAAACTGCGAGCGCGGGGTCGTTGCTACCAATTGCAATCAACTGAACTGTCTGGAGTGGCTCGGCTACTACGGTCTTTGTGGTAGTCTCGGTGACGGTCTCGGTAGCGATGGTGATATCGTCAGTGACGACATCGACAGTCTTGGTAACTTCCTCAGTGCTGTAAGTCTTCAAGACGACAGTGGTCTTCACCGTCTGAGTCACCCAGGTGGTGTCGACCGTCGTCTTGACGGTGGTAGCCCGTGGGATCTTCACGCGGATTATCTTAGAGACAACAGTTACTCGAGGGCCGTTGACTGTCTTGGAAGTGACGCCGATGCGGGAGCAAGCCGATGAGTATTGGGCGGAGTTTGTGCATATGTTGTCGAGGTATTCTGGAATGCGAGGTGCGGAGCGTTTGTGCTTGAAAGGCGGGTTGACATTGTCATCCTGGGTCGTGATTGTCGCCGTGGCCTGCTCAGTCACGAATTTGGTTTGCTCCACGGTCCGCGTCACGACGATGTTCTCTGTAACGGTTTGCACAATGGAGCTTACGCTCGTAGCGATGGCGGACGAGGTACTAGTAGCTGTGATTGACTTTCTGACGGTTGGGGTCTTCTTGGTGATTGTAGTTGTTTTGTAAATGGTGCTGTGTATTTCGCATTAGCTTTTGCGCCATCGGACCGCGCTCGGATATCGTACGCCTTCTTGGGAGTTATTGTAGTGACAAGGAATGCCTTGCAGTCAGAGGTATGCTGCTTATTGTTGGGCTGCGCAACAGCTTTAAAAGCGCTTCGTTAGCTGATGGCACGAAATCATTAGCAGATTAGCATACCGTTATAACATGCATCGGGGCTTCGGATAAATGGGTTCCAGAAAGCAGCGTCAGCACCTGCGACGATCATGCCCAACGGCACGAGGACTTCAAAGAATTTCATCTTCGCGAACTTGATCCTAAGCCGGCAAAGAGGAGTTGACGAGGAACGATATGAACATGGGCGCCACAGGCCGACGAGTTATTAAATAGCATCGGGTGCAGCCTCCCCTGTACATCGTGGTTACCGCTGAGCTGGTCAGTGTTGAAGCTATTGATTTCAATCATAGATCTATTGAATTTGCTTCGGGGGTCTCGCGGTCTAGATCGACGTGTTGTCCAATCGATCGCCGTGGTTGACGAAAATATCCACCCGGACTCGCGCTATTGTACATAGCGCTACAGGGATATTCAGCGCCACTCAGGGATGCATAATAAAAAGAAAGGCCTAGAGCCCTAGATTGATCATACGGAATAATTTGGCTGGCCAGCTGATGTTTTTCTTACAGGGGCATATGCAGACCCTGAGATCAAAGAAAGATGAATTCATCAATGTCGTAAGATAAGAAAGCTCCAAGTTCAATCGTATCGTATACAGTTTGCACAGGTAGCTTTAAATACTAATCGTGTTGGGGACAATGTTTCTTATTTTAGCTCACTTGACTGCAACTATGGGACTCTGTGTAGTACTACTGCGCTTCGTTGATCTCGGCTAGATTGAGTATGTAAGAAATCGTGTTAATTCCGACGTCCAACTGCGTACTGGGTCATCAAGAGCCAATCCGAGACCATGCGGACCATCCGGTAAGATCAAAACCTGGGCCTTTCTCTTATGAGCTGCCATGGCTTCAGCAAACATGAGAGTGTTCTGCACTGGAACAGCTTGGTCGTCGAAGGTATGGAACAAAAATGTCGGAGGCGTTGTATCAGAGACTAAGTTCTGCGCTGATAGATCGTGCAATTCTTCGGCTGTCGCGTTAGGCCCGACGAGATTGTCGCGAGAGCCGGTATGCGTATAGTTTCCTTCCAAGGTAATAACAGGATATGCGAGGATGCCGAAATCCAGGCCAGCCTTGGGGTTGGTGAGGGTTGTGGATGCAAGGTGACCGCCTGCTGAGAAGCCCCAAATACCAAGCTTCTCTATTTTGGGGTTCTCGTGGCGAATTTTCTTGAGAGCAGCGAAGACCTCATTCTCTGGTTTGGGGTAGATAGGTGCAGTGGCATTAAGAGTCGTGGTATAATCGAGAACCCACGCATCGATACCAAGTTCGTTGAGGTATGCCGCCGGCTTGTAGCCTTCCTTAACAATAGAGACATGGCTATAACCACCGCCTGGGCAAATAAGAACACCCGTGCCTGTGGAATTGGCCACTAGGAACGCTGTAAGCTTTGCGATGTCGAGTCTATCGAGTTGGTAAGCTTCAGTGACATGAGGCTATTATGCCAGAATGGACAACTAGGGCAGGTGCTTAACTAACTTCATAGTGTCTCTGTCTGGGACATAAGCGGCTGTATTAGGAAGCTCAACAGACTGCCTGGACGTCATCTTGAACAAGACACCACGTTGAGATATATGTTTTCTCATTTGCAGATCACTTTGGGGGCGGGACGTGTTTGGGGTTTCGTTCTGAATTACCCCGCGATGTCGAAACTCAACTGACCTTGAACCCTTGTAACCAAACTTCACTTCTATTCGTCCGGCTATTCTGTCAAAGCATGCATCATTATAAGTCCATGGATAAAATATAATAACTTATGGTGATCTTTGGATTATTGGCGGAAAATTGTGGGGTAAAGACTCTGTCAACCAAAGTTATTGGTTCATAGCCGGCCGTTCACTGAGCAGGGTCTGCAAACCGCGATTTAATGATTAAGCTATGTTTCGGTACTGAGGCCAAGTTTCCGGCACTCGAAGTATTGAACCTTGAGGATAGACACATTGGAGATGGGATATTTAGCGCCATTGACAGGGGTTATGCCTCCTAACCACTGTACGGTCCGCATGCAGTGTCAGGACCAGCGCAGCCATTTCATCAAGAGGTTGTTTGTTATAAACTTTAGTCACAAAAGACGCCTATTCAGGACATGTGGTGAATAACTGTGTAGATCGCAAGATAGCAGTATTTTAGAACTATATGCAAGCCAGGATGCGTCTCTGTAGACTGAAACGAATATAGACAATAAATAAAAGACCCATAATCGACATACCACCAGCATAATAAGCAGCAGGCCTGAATACTGAAAGACTGTTATTGTCATTCCCGGCAAGCGAGTAGATTCCCGAAGCAATAGGTGTGCCCTGAGATTCTGATCAGTAAAGGGCGTGAATAGGAGATACATATGCAACCTACGAAGAAGAATCCGCAGAACCAAGTAGTCCAAACAATAGGCAAAATGCCAAGAGTATTCTCTGGTCCCATTGTAGCGCCGAGCATGGGAGGAACCAGACTAAAGAACGCTCCACAGCCAATGCCGTTGAAGACGAGAAAGATAGAGAAGATCCCAACCGAAGATGCTAATGGCCACACGACGAGTGAGCTGAGACCAATAAACAGAAGACAGACAATCAAGCTGTTCAAAGGGCCAAGCAAGTGGTCAGCGGTATAGCCCCCGAGGACCCGACCAACAGTGGAAGCCAAGTTCCAAGCCGCCAGTATGATAATCGCAATCTGATTGGAGTAGCCCATGGATCGGGTGAAGATGGGAATGAAGTATGGAGGAATAAATAAGGGAAAACATGACAAAGCTGTCCCGGCGATAATAAGGAGAAACCGAGGTTCCCGGAAGCGATGCCTAATCATATGGTCAGCAGGCCATTGAGAACCAACAATCCGGGATGCACTCACCATTGGAGCTTCAAGCCGGCACTCATGGATCCCTCAGGCTGTTGAATGAAGTATGAAGCTGGGATACAGACTCCCCAGAGCATGAAGCCTAGAATGCGGAATGTCCAAGCGACATCGACTTGCTTCACAAGAAGATTCGTCGCAATGCTCATAACAGCTGCACCAAGGCTGCCTCCTCCAAACACGATACCCATAGCCAGGCCACGGTGTCTCTTGAACCACCTCAGGGGAGCAGTCGAGCATGCCTGTCAATGTTAACAAGATGCCAGGTTTTTTTTCAGGCTGAACTTACAAAGATAGATAGTCCTCCTCCAATGCCAAATATCACACCGTGGAAGACAAAGAGAGCTCCAACATGCTTTGTCGTCCAACTGGCTAGAAATTCACCCAGACCCATCAGGATACCACCAGCTAGAGCAGTCTTCTGGTAGCCAAGCTTTCGAACGGCAATACCAGAGAGGATACTCAGTGATATCATGAAGGATGTTGCAAGCGATCCGACGAAGGTCAAGGTTGTGAGGTTTGTTCCAGTTACTTCGACAAGTCTGACTTGCATAATGCCCCATGAGTAGATCACCCCGAGGTAAACAAAAAGAGAACATGCTGCGGCTGCCACAGCTATCCATCCTTTAGGGTTATCGAACTCGACCGCCAGCGGTGTTGGAGTGGATTCGCTTTCGGGTTGTGAGATATCGGTATCATTGCCCTTTTCATTGTCTGACGAGGTCGATGAGCATGGCCAGTCTGGACCTGAGTCATCTTTCTGGGCTGACATGTTTGATCTCAATTCACAAGCAGCAATCGGAGAAATAATGATATGATGGATGTTTGTACAGTCGTTGTTCGAGAAAGTTCTCTAGTTAAATATCTGATCCGGCATCTGACCTCGGTTCTCACAAGAGCGAAACCGACGACGAGAACCGACGCCCTGAACCTGTCAACCCATCTCAGTGGGTCGTAGCGTATGATACTGTTTGTCATGAGAAATTCATGACACAGCGACAAGCCGGAATCAGTCGGCTCGTCGGTGCTCGGCTGAAAATCTGTCTTTCCCGAGTTCCGGCGCTGATGATCGGTTTTCGGTTTTGGCGTTTTATAAATGGTCCAGAGGAATTCTTTAACAGTAGTAAGAATTAATTTCATCAAGACGAAAGACTGTTTGGTCAATCCATAGCATTAAGCATTTTTTCTGCCTCAATTGTCTATCAATCGACATGGCTCCTTCAACGATTGAGGACTTTGCTGAAGTCTCCACCTACCAATCATCCATGCCCGTCAAACCCATGCATCAAGAAGGATGTTTGATGCACAGATCTCTCGTCCAACATCCTTACATGGTCGAGTCAGCAAGTGGAGTCGAGCTCAAATTATCGACCGGCCAAACAATCATCGACGGTTGTGCTGGCGCAGCTGTTGCCCTTATCGGCCATGGCAACGAGGAGGTTATCCAAGCCATCACCGACCAAGCTCGCAAAGTCAGCTATGTCCACACACAATCCTACACAACGGCACCAGCCGAAGAGCTTGCAAATGTTATACTCGAGGGCAATCCGTATGGCCTTGAAAAAGCCTTCTTTGTTGGCAGTGGCAGTGAAGCTGTTGAGTCTGCTCTGAAGCTAGCTCGCCAGTACCATTATGAGAAGGGAGAGCTTGATAGAGTGTATATTGTCTCCAGACGGCAATGTTATCATGGAAATACGATGGCCACTATGTCTATCTCGACTAACAAAGCTCGCCGAGCTCCGTACCATGGTTTCTTGTACCCTCATGTCTCTCACGTCTCACCTGCTTTCGCTTATCACTATAAAGACGACTCCGAGACTGAAGAGCAGTTCACAGCGAGACTTCTGGTCGAACTTGAAGAAGAGTTTCTACGAGTCGGTCCCAAGAACGTCGCTGCTTTCATCGCGGAAACAGTCGTTGGCGCGACGACAGGCTGTGTTGCTGCCCCGGCCGGGTATTTCAAGGGCGTCAGAGCCATCTGCGACAAGTACGGAGTGATCATGATTCTCGACGAGATTATGTGCGGCGTTGGTCGAACAGGCACGTTCTTCGCTTTTGAGCAGGAGGGTGTTGTACCTGACATCACCACGATCGCGAAAGGTCTTGGTGGTGGTTATGCTGCCATTGCTGGTGTTCTCATTCACAAGAAGGTCGTTGATGTCCTCAGACATGGCTCGGCTGCTTTCAACCACGGACATACATATCAAGCTCATCCTATATCATGCGCTGCGGCATTGGCGGTGCACAAGGTCCTGAGACGCGAGAACTTGGTTGAGCGGTGTCACAAGATGGGCCTTGTCTTGGAGAGGACGCTTCGACAAGAGCTAAAACACTGCAAGTCAGTGGGCGATATCCGAGGTCGAGGTCTTTTCTGGGGCGTCGAGTTTGTCAAAGACGTGACATCCAAGCAGCCTTTTGACCCTTCGGCTAAGTTTGGTCTGTTGGTGCAGCAGATCGCCTTTGAGAAGGGCGTTGCGTTGTATCCAGGCGGTGCTACGATTGATGGTGTTAATGGTGATCATATTCTGCTTGCGCCGCCATTTACAATTACTGAAGATCAACTGGCCACTATTTGTCGGGTATTAAAGGAGGCAGTGGTAGAAGCCGAAACAATGATGCTCTCTCCATAGATCAGACATTTTCTGAATTGTCTGTTTAGGGATACGATGTCAAAAGTATATAGACTGTGCATTTTGTAAAATTGATACACCTTGATACCAATTTTGTGGCTATGGAATATCTTTCGTCCTGGATCATAGTGCTTTGGGAGGCGAGAAATTGCACTCGATGGGGCAGAGACATTGAGCCTCAGACTGTATCGACTCTACTTCACCTCTGCAAAGGCATCCAGAGCCTCATGCAACTTCCCAAAGGTCCCATCATGCCAACCCGCAATCTGAGCCCATTCGTCCTCAGGTAGCGTAGCATGCAGCATCCTCAGCCACGCACCAACAAGCATATCCGCATAACTAACCTTGTCACCCAGCAAAAACGGGCCACTCACATCCCTCGTGAACAATTTGGCAAGATTACCGAGCATTTCTCTCAGAGACTCCATCACCTTACCCCGAGCCTCGCCCACCAGCGCAAAGTCGTCCCACTGTTTCATCCCCGCACGTCGCACAAACTCAGCCTTGCTCTCCTCCTCAGAAGCTGGATCGAACGGCATTCCCTGGACTCCCAATTGCACGTGTGCAGTAAACGCCGCGTCGATGTTGAGATTGAACTTGGCGTACTCGGGGTTCTCCTTATCGCGCCATTCGGAGAGGGGGACGAGGATGTAAGGATGCTCAAAGTCAAAGTCGAGCGTCTGAGTGGGGAAGAGATCGCCTCCACCAGAGGTTGGGTACGTCGTCTGTAGGTAAATAGCGATGTCGAAGGAGTCGCCGACTACAGACCCAGTTGAGGGGTCGTCGATGATGGGCAGAGTGTAGAAGTCTTTGCCGTCATTGAATTTGCGACAGGCGGGGACGTTGAGGCCAGTGCGCACTTTGGTGATGTCTGGCAGGGCTACCCATGACGTTGAGTAGGGGACTTGCTTGAAGTTGAGGGCGAATCTGCTCTTCCATGGATTTGGGGAGAAGACGTTCTTTTCCACCGGCGGCCGGGCGGCGATGTCATAGAAGACGATTTTCTTGGAAGACTCGGACATGATGGATGATGGAGTTGTACAGATGATGCTGTTGTCGTTGATAGCTGGAACATTGGTAACGATACGAAAATTGATACGTGGCTCGTAGTTGATTGGCTTAGTTACGAAACTTCACCAAAACGCTCCATGACGAGTCATTAAGTCAAAGTCATTATAACTGAATCAATGCTTAAAAATGCAATCAATACTAATCTTCAATTTTATTATGTTAATTCTACACTAAGAAGTTTTGCTCGTTCCAAAGCTTTGTTGGAGATTCGGCTGCCTCCAGCCCTATAGGGTGGATCCACAGTCCTCCAACGAAGATGAGGTTCACAATAGGTACATAATTCTCTAAATGGGACATGGCATCGCCTGATGATTGGCTACCCTGGCCAAGAAACAATAACCGTAGGCTATGATGGACTGTATCCAGGCGCAAATTATATGCCGTCTTGTCAAGTCCACTGATCTTGGTGCTGAGTAACAGATGGAGTCAAAGCACGCGATCTGATTCGTCGGTCCGTAAAAAAGCACACATTGGTATAGGGTCAAGGCGCCGGCCAAGGCAAACCCAATGCCGAACAACCGTCATTCGCTTGCCAAGCACGATGCCTCATGAGCTTGACAGCAAATTGGTCCACAGATGTCACAGTCTTTCTCCCGCATCTATAACGGCGAGCCCGTAATATTGATTACATGGCGTAAATTATGAATGAGGCTATGTCTTGGCTGCTGATATAAAGTCTAAGCTCATGAAGCGTGTTTCATAGACACTCAAAATTATCTTCTTTCGATTGTGTATGATATCGGAAATGTCTGTTGAATCAACTGAAAACTTCCCCCTCGCCAGATACAGGGCTGGTGGCGGACATCCCACCGGCCAACGCAATGGCATCGAGGAGAATCTGGAAGAGTCTTTCCTCAGTCATTTCACCCAATTGTTCAACAAGTATGCCGGACCCAACGGCACCTGGCATCGAGACCAGATTGGACTTTTCATGCACCACGTTCAAGTCGAGAACCCAGAAGGTCTGGCCAGTTACCTTGTCGATCAAGACGAACTAAATCTACCTGAACTCATCAAGTATCTCACATCACCATGTGGCAACATTCTCGAGATGGCGTCTCCCCAAGACCTGACCTGGCCATTGAACAACTACTTCATCAGCTCAAGCCACAACACATACCTCACAGGGAACCAACTTTCAAGCGACTCGAGCACTGAAGCGTACAAAGACGCCTTGCTGCGTGGATGTCGCTGTATCGAAATTGATGTCTGGGACGGTAAAGAGCAGTGGAAGCCAGGATTTGGCTCAGAGGATGACGTTGAGAAAGAAGCCAAGGATACCTCTCGAGAAGCGGCGCCAAGGAAAATGGGCTTTGCAGATCGAGCCATCATCAAGATTGGGCGTTGGGCTATGAACAAATTTGATCCAGTTGATCCTGACGGAAAAACGATCGATGACAGACTCTTGGATATTATTGACGCCGAGCCAAGAGTTCTTCATGGCTTCACTCTTACGAAAGAGGTTCTTTTCCGCGACGTCTGCCAGACCGTCAAAGAGTATGCTTTCACCACGTCTGATCTTCCACTCATCGTCAGTCTAGAAGTCCACTGCTCTCCACTACAGCAAGGCACAATGGTCAACATTATGGAGGAGGTCTGGGCTGATTATCTTCTCCCTGCACCTGAGTTTGAATCCGATTGCCTGCCATCTCCTCATGAGTTGAGGAACAAGATTCTCATCAAGGTGAAGTATGTTCCGGAGGACAGCAAGGGAAAGGGCAAGGACACGCCTGATAGTACGGATGATGAGAGCATGCTTGAGGTCGTTGTGGAGGGAGACGAGAAGAAGGTCAAGAAGGTCAAACCGCCAAAGATCATACCGCGACTGAGCCGTCTTGGTATTCATACTCGAGGGATTAGTTTCAAGTCCCTTGAGGAGCCCGAGGCGTCGATGCCGAATCATATATTCTCGCTCTCGGAGAATGCAGCCTTTGCGATTCAGAGACGCATGCCAAAGGCGCTCTTCTCGCACAACAGACAGTTTCTCATGCGGACTTATCCTCATGGTATGCGATTTGACTCATCCAACTACGATCCTGTCATTTTCTGGCGCGCTGGTGTCCAGGTAGTTGCTCTCAACTGGCAATCGTGGGACCTAGGCATGGTGCTCAACGAGGGTATGTTTATGGGCTCAGACGGATATGTTCTTAAGCCTGAGGGATACCGTCATAATCCGAGCCAAGAGCTTAGCACCGAGGAGTCTCACATCCCTAGTAAGACATTGGAAAGGGTGGCTATCACAATCATCGCAGCACAGAACCTTCCCTTACTCAATCGCCATGATGATCCCGCAAAGTTCATTCCTTACGTCAAGATCGGCCTACATACTGAGCCAGATGCCCTCTCAGCGATGGTAGATGAGAACGCTACAGCCGAGCAAGTCAAGCAAGTCGGGCACAGTGGTGAAACAGGTAAAAGTAAAGGTACCAGTCCGGACTTTGGAGGTGAGACGGTGGAGTTTCTCAACGTTGAGGGTGTTGTTCCGGAACTGGCTTTCCTTTCATTCAGGGTCATGAATGATGTACCTGGGCCCGATGTTATGGCTGCTTGGGCTTGTGTTCGTTTGGACAGGCTGAGGCTTGGATATCGCTTTTTGAGATTGCTGGATAAGGAGGGCATGCCGAGCAAGGGTATATTGTTGGTGAAGAGTGAGATCAGGGAAGCCATTTAGCTACAGCGCTGACGGGAAGAATGCCCAGGCATGCCGTAATAGTAGGGGCTTTTAACGCTCTCATGACTTAGTCTGCAGTATATAAAGTTGGTGAGGCGTCGAAATAGACTCCGAACACTCGCAATGTGATTTGACAAAAATTCTATAAACTTTCGTGCCATTATTGCTGCCTACGATGATACAAACTTACTGGTAGTGGTCCTGATGACGAGACGAGTTGTGAAACAGCGCTGAGTCATCTTGCGTGGTGAATCACGCCCTGGCAGGCATCCCTGATTAACCTTATGAGTGTCAGGCAATCGCGTAGATTAGGGGTTTGAGCTGATGAGCTGATGGGACGGGATGGATCCTTGCCTTTGGGCTTCGGGGACCGAGATGCCGCGGGTTGCCGCGGGGCCCCGTTAGCTCAAAGTCTGAGCTGTCCAACGCAACGAGGAAGCTCCCGTGATCTGCAAACGAGAATGAACGAGAACGAGATGCCATGTAGTGAATGCGAAAGTCGTTTACTGAACGAGACATCAACGAACATTTTGTTAGAACCATGCTAAACGTCGCTGAAACTTGACATGGTGGATAATTTCAGGCTGAGAGTAAATTTCAGCCACGAATCTTGATGAGGGCTAGCTCCAGAGGGAAGCTCGTTCGATTTATGCATTGATGGACATATTACAGGATGAAACCAGACCGTGTCTGCCTCGCGTATTTATATCTGACCCTGAGTGAGACGGGCTCATCCGTACTCCGTACCTTCAGCCCCAACGAGCCACCCAACGTGTTTATTCGTATCCCCCAAATTACACCAACTCAGAACAGGAATAGTCCACTCCAACACCCAACGAATGCCGTTCTGCCGAAGCGTCTCAACCCTTGCCTGATTCAGGGGACGCCCCGCGGGAGACGATCAGCGAGAGAGAAAAGAAAATGGCTCGGGTCATCACTGTCACCCATCGCACGTGGCGGTCGTTTTGGAACATCATACGGTATCCGCAGCCGCCAATCACATGGGAGTCGAGAACAAAAAAGCCTCGAGGCTGAGTTGGCGCAGGGATTCCGATGACGACGCGTCTTTTTATTTACCGGCCGTTGCCCACTTCAATGAAGTTAAATTAAATCTCTTACATATATAAGGCGGGCAAGGTAAAAGGTGTGTTTTTTTTAGTGTTTTTTGCACGAAATTTTGCGCACGCGACGTATAAATACCGAGGAAGGACCTGATTTCCTCACACTCTAGAGGAGTTTTTGCTGGGGAATGTTTTCGGACAATGGCACTCCAGAATATCATTCAACACTTGCGCGCGCGCTTTGGGAAATATGAACGACTTTACGACGAGGAGCACATTGAGTTGGAATCACCACCTCACAAACGATGCGTCCCCAAACGATTTGGATTTCCGAGGTTCAGGAAGCTCACAGTCTATCTAATCCTGATCAACCTGATCATTCTCGGCCTATTAATTCATTCCATTCGCCCGCTCATCACACTGCTCATACGGAATAACGAGCTATTCGCAATTAATTTCTCTGTCGACCATGCAGCGCAGCCAGACGCATTTCAAAGGCCAGATGGGAAGAAGATACCGCGGGTTTTTCACCAAACCGCGCCCAACAGCTCGATTCCAGAGATTTGGGCGGCCTCACAGCAGAGCTGCCAAAAAGCATATTCTGACTTTGAATATAAGCTCTGGACTGACGACGGGGCGCGAGAGTTTTTGAAGGAGGAATTTCCGTGGTATCTCGACACTTGGGATAATTATCCTTTTCCGATTCAGCGCGCAGACGCAATCCGATATTTTGTGCTGTATCATTTTGGTGGGATTTATATGGACATGGACACATATTGCAACTCGTCCTTCCCCGTAGATCAGATCGAATCACTACCAGGAAAGGAGCACGCTTTATTCAAATCGACATTGCCGACTGGTATCACGAATGATTTTTTGATTTCAACCGCAAGGCATCCAGCTTTCGCATCCGCTGTTTCAAGACTGGCTAGCTTTCACCAAACAACCCGCCTCTGGGCCCGTCTTCAACCTTACGCAGCTATCATGCTTTCAACAGGTCCTCTCTTCCTGACATTGGCAGTGCAGCAATATCTGCTCGGCCAGCCAATTCTCCCATCACCAAACATACACATCATAGACCCCGCGATGGTGGACCATTATATGACAGACTTTGAAACCGCGACATGGCATCAGAGCGACGCTCAGGTGCTCAAGTGGCTCGGCGACAGGCCATGGACGTGGTTCAGTCTAGGAATCATTGGGGTTACCGCCGGCATCTACACATTTAATTGCGTGCTATCACGAACTTTTACGACTTTTTATCGTAAGCTATTATAATACTCAGCGATTGCATTTCTCAAGAATAAAATAAAAAAACTCAATTTCCTTGGCCAGAACGGGCACATAATTTCATCCCCCCTGTCGCACTGGTAATTTACTCGGATAAGCGGCACGATTACGTGGTCGCGGCGTTGCTCCTGTAATTTTCGGCTAGTTCCAAAGACAGAAATAACCGAAAACTCAGGCCGTCGAGAAAATACGGGATGACCAATTAGAACGTGAGGCGCAGACGCGGGAAGCTGATGAATGGGCCTGGTCCAGGTCGCGTTGTTTGTCAGTTGACAGCCACGTCCGTGGCTTAGCTGTCGTGTCACGACGACAATCAGCCCCCTTTTCATCGCATATGTAGGACGATCAGATGCATGACCATGGGGCTTCTGTAAAGTTCACTGGGAGTTTCAAAAGATTGGGGCTTCTTATGCGCGGGCCCCGTGGAGTCGCATTGCATAAAGTTGCAACTTCAAATTGAGTTCAGGGTCCTTCCCAGCGACTTGGGTCAACTGAGTTTATTACCACTTTATTGCCTGCCCGCTTGAGCTTTGAAGGTAATGCCAATGACATAATTGGCTATCTTAGGTTTGGCGCTGGAAACAAATCTGTTTATGGGGCTGGCGAATCTATGAGGCGTAGGAATCTTGATGGCCAGTAACTATCTGCGTAGTATGAAACCAGGGTTGACTGTGCAAGAACGGAAATGGCATGTCAAGGGCAGATCCTTCGGTTTGTTTGGCCTTATCGAGGATTCTTGATTTATGCTTATTATAAAAGTGGTATCAGGCTCGGACAGGCTGTCAAAGTGACACGATGAGCAATAGTTGCCGTTAATGCAATTTCTCGTCAATGGCGATAAGACAGGCTCTTTAGGTAGAAATATAGACTGAACCTGAGAGCTGTTTCTACAAATATTCACAAAGCGGAAGATATGAAACCGCAAAGGTTGTGACAGCGTAGGCCCTTGATATGCACAAATTCTTCAGTACTATTCAGTTTTGTATGTAGCAGCTAAGTTTTTCATACTGTACTAACTCTTTTGGTTCGTTCTATGACAACATCGTCTTTTCACTCCTTAACGGTTTTACCCAGGTCTGCTTCTGTCCTCTCAACCAAAACATCAAAGATCCGTTGGACATGCTCCTCTCGAACCCTCTCAACACCAGTGCATACACGAATCGCAAACTTGTCATTGACTACCGTGCTGGTAAGGTAAAACTCTCCTGTTCTGTTGACCCATTCATAGAGCTCTTCCGTTCGAGCGTTGATCTCCGCTTCATCAGCTCCCTTGACACGGAAAGTCACCAGGCCAAAGCGCGCGGAGGTGAAGATGGTGAATAGATCAGGTCGACTGGCCAGCTTATCCTGCAGGGACTCACCAAGCGTAACTCCGTTTCGAATATGCGCTTGCAGTCCTCGGATGCCATAGCTGCGAAGAACGAACCATAGCTTGAGAGATCGGAAGCGTCGCCCAAGAGGGATTTGCCAATCGCGATAGTCAGTGACCAGTTCATTATCGGAAAACTGGTTACGCAAGTACGGCGGCTTGATGCTCAGAGACTGGATAAGCCATGCTCGGGATCGGACCCAAACAGCAGAGCAGTCAAAGGTAGTGAGCATCCACTTGTGCGGGTTGAAGTTGAAAGAGTGGAAGTCGGCCATTGGTGTAGTCAAAGGCTGATTCTCCTCGAGAAGAAGTGCAGAGCCTGCATACGCAGCATCGACGTGGACCCAGATATCCCTCTCTGTTCCAGCGGTAGGAGACAGCGCCTCAACGATACCAGCAAAATCATCAACCGCACAAACATCCGTCGTGCCCATCGTGGCAGTCAGGTAGAAAGGCTCTAGCCCGCGGGCCCGCAACTCAGCTACCGTCTTGGCGACAGCACGACCAGTCATGGCAAATCCGTCTTCTTCGGTAACGGGAATAGCGACGAAGCGAACACCAAGAACCTGAGCAGCCTTCTTGGTACTCGAGTGAGATCCAGCACTTCCCAAAGCGACGAGTTTGCTTCGTACAGCCCAGACAGCATCTTCATCCATGTCCCTGGTGACAGCAGCGAGATACTTGTCGCGAGCAGCACACATGACAGTAAGGATAGCCTCGCTAGCACTGCCGTGAATAACACCACCTCCATGGGTGCTACCGCCACTCAAATAGCATTCCGGTAGACCGAGAGCTTTAGCGAGCCAGTCCATAACAATTGTTTCCAGCTCTGTAACAGCTGGGCTGCAGATCCAGTTGAAATGGGCGCCGTTGAAGGTATTTGAGTACATCTCAGCTAGTGCAGCAGGGTAACTGCTTGAGCAGGGAAAGAAGGCCATGAACCGGGGGTTGGCCCAATGGGTGATTCCGGGAAGGATTTTAGACTCGATGTCGGCATGGATGTCGCTCCAGGACTCTCCTTCAAGGGGAGCTGAGGATGGGAGCAGAGGTCGGAGGTAGCCTGGCTTCACATCGGATACAACACGCTGCGAGGAGACATTGTCGTAATAGTCAGTGACTGTATATTGTTAACATCAAGGGTCATTGATTCAGTACTAAAAGACTTACTCTCGTCAATGGCTGTGCGAGCAGCCTCACGAAACTCTGCGGAATCCATTGTGTCTGTGTAGATGTTTGAACTAAATGCTGTCTTGAAACTGAATGTCAAGTCGTGTTAATGTCTGTCTGGTGTTGCATTTATATATCATTCGACAGAGACTTGACAAATATCGCGCTTGTTTCCGATATTGCCACGAAAGGTGGGGGAGCATGTCAAGTAACTCGGATCCAGTCATCGTATGGAAATTCCGCTTGGGGAAAAGTGTGTTTGAAGAGTCTCCCCAGATAATGGCATTAGCATGTCGCCACATTTATGATGGACAGCCAGTCTCCGCCCTTCGTCTGACAAAACGAGACCCACCTCGGAATTATCACCATGAGGCGTTCCGCGTTCCGAGCCGATGTAGGGTATTTTGATAGTGTTTTGATGATAGGATGTTTGACATACAACATTGTATCTTGCATAATGCAACATAGTCAGTCAGATTACATATTGCTCGTTTGTTATTGCCGTTCTGGGATCTTTTGCACATGGAGGGACCCAGCAGCCCAGCTCCGAAGATCCAATGAACGCAAACTGTTGACATCGGAACATAAGGAGGTTATCAAAGCACAATGCCAACAGCTATTCTCGGAATCACCCTAGTCAACAAATTCAGATCTGTTGGTCTCCCTATCACGTTCAACCCGTCATCTAGGGTAAAAATAGGCTCTGATCGTCTTGACAATATTTCTCAGTGCTATCTCTCTGAGTGTCAAATACTTGGAGTCTAGATTGTTCAAGGAGTAAGAATATAGGCAAACAAAAAATTGAATTAGATTTATAATTTGACTAAGCTAATATTAAAGACCTTCCAACTTAGAACCAGGTAGTATCTCATCGGCATGGCGGAATACAGCTCTCCAGCTTGGCCATGGATTGGATAAGCTCCAACTATGAAATGGCCAGGGACACTATTAATGAGTTCAAACAAACCAATCAGAACTTAGAGAAGAGCAACAGCAGCGGCACCAATGGCACCAACCAAGCCAGCGACCTTGCCTGAGAGGCTTCCAGCTCCGTTGACAACAACAACAGGCTCCGAGGTCTTGGCAGGCTTGGAAGCTTCAGTGCTAGCAGGCTTGGAGGTCTCCATGCCAGTATGCTTGCCAGTGGCAGAAGCCATAGTGGTGTGGGCAGCGCAAGCCGTGGGCTCAACGAGAGAACCACCGGGGCCGTCGTAAGGGTTGTAGCCCAGGCACTCAGCCCACTCGGCGGCGCAGGTAGCGTGGTTGGCGTCAGGGGCAACGTTGCAAGCGTCATGGGCCTTGTTGCACTTCTCGAGGCAATCGCCAGCCTTGGCTGTCTCGGTGGCAGTAGGCTTGGCAGAATGCGAGCAGGCTGTAGGGGCGACGAACGATGCGCCGCCATAAGGGTTGTAGCCAAGACACTCGGCGTACTCAGCAGCGCAGGTAGCATGATTGGCATCAGGCGCAGTGTTGCACGCATCATGAGCCTTGTCGCACTTCATGACACACTCATCAGCCTTAGCAGTCTCGGTGGCAGTAGGCTTGGCGGAGTGCGAGCAAGCAGTAGGGGCAACGTATGATGCGCCGCCATAAGGGTTGTAGCCAATGCACTCGGCATACTCAGCAGCGCAGGTTGCGTGGTTGGCGTCAGGCGCAGTGTTACACTTGTCGTGAGCAGCGTTACATTTCGCAAGGCACTCGTCGGTGGAGGAGGGACGAGCAGGGATGGAGTCAGTAGCAGTTGGGTAGATAGGAGACGAGAAGGCTGTGTCGGAAGCAGCGGCGGGTGAGGCGCTTGAGAGCTGCGCGGCGCTGAGCATCAGGCCGAAGAAGACGGAACGAGTGTTGGAAACCATTTTGATGGAGAAACGATTGTGTTTGCGTGCTTGAAAGGGATTATGGTGAGAGTGAAGTGAGGAAATACTTTACAAGGCTATAGAGTCGTTGGTATTTATAAAAGTAGGCGCCGTGTCTCGTTGTTAGTGTCTCTCGTGTAGGTAATTTAAAATTACATCTGTGTCATCACAATTCCTCCCCCGCATTCTAGGCACTCGGTCACAAAGGTCCTTATGTCGTATAGAATTTGTTCGTATTCGAAGTCACTAGGCAAGATACATTCCTCTAGCTCAGGGAGATGAGACATTCAGCCAATCACTGGGCAAGAATAACAAAGGGAGGGCCGTAGACTTTGTGGCGTTGAGCACTAATATGCAGTGTCTCAGGAACACCCAGCCAAGTGCCGTGATCTCCCTGGATCTGGAGGAACAGTTACGTCGAAATAAATACTGAGAATGGAGTGATGTCTTGTATTTCACGCAGTTAGGGTCATGAATCGGAAAATTACACATATCTTCCGAAAAGAATAGTAATTAATAAACAGTCAAGCTACAAACAAGATTTCTGTCATAGTTATGAGCTTAATTCTCAACCTACTGATCGCCTGGGCAACCGTAAAGTTCATTCCATTTATAGACCGCCCAACGAGTCACGTTGATCGTTAAACGCATGCCGGTCGATGATTGGGTGAATAAGTGTCAGTCTGGAACATAGGGCTGGCTTAGACATGCCGACATCCGAACCGAGGCAATTCAGCCAGAGTACAGGACACCCTTGAGTCGGTATCGAAGCCTAAGCTAGTAGGTCAGTAATTGTTTCTTGTGGGCTTCCTTATGTGGAGAACCCCCGTCCGCTCCAGGTGACGACATATTGTGAGCAAGACCTTCTACCAGGGCTGTAGTGCAACGAACTTGGTTACTTGCGATAATCCCGAGCTTTATCGCTACGCAGAGAAATGCCAGTGTGACTAGCCAAGCGTCTCGTGTGTAAGGAAATCCAGTTTCGTACCTATGTCGGCTACTGTTAGAGGTATTTCTACGTCTCTCCCCCAAGATTATGTAGCTAGTTATCACAACCTGGCGCATCCAGGCGTATTGCGCACAACAATTGGCACTAAAGTACCTTTATACTGACAACATCTATGGCTTGAAGGGCGGAGGTCAACAAAATTGAGCACCTGTCCATGATGACAGAGGCTAACAGAACTAGTTTGCGTATTTCTTTAACGAGCATTCAAAAGCCGAGACGGCGACGTCCTATCCAGGTACGGTATCGACCGTTTATTCGGACTATTATGCAAGGGTCTAGGTCAACCTGAATGGACCGCCCATGAGCGATTCGCTACTAACACAAGTCATGCAAAGAAGCGCAACTGGCTTGAAAAAGGCATTGAAGAAATTACAAAAACCAAAGACACTCGGGAATGGCTGAAACACTCGATGATACAAGCTTGCCGAAGGCAAAAGTTAACGACGTGCCCGATAATTTCAATCACCCACACGGCAAGCTCCAAAACCACACCCCTTAGAAAGGTCTATTACTTACCTACAATGTTTATTACAAGCACGGGATATGGTTGTCGAGGTTGACCACTTCAGCGAAGAGCCACTCAACCATTCAACCTCATCTCGCCTTCGGTCAAGTAGTCTCGATCAAGCTCAATATCCTTGAAGCTAAAAGCCGTCCCAGATATGCAAACGACGTCGGAGCGCTACTGCTTAGACATTTTCAAGGCAATTATACCCATACTCTTTTAACGGTAAGCCGGGTCCAGCTGACAAGAAAATGGATTTCGATATGGTAAACTTACAATTATGATACCTATAGATATCACGACCATTTAAATATAAAATAAACATAATAATATAGAATATAGTGTTATAACTATTATATATCCATATTAAAATAATGGCTGTTTTGCAAGATAAAAAGGATTTATCAGCAAACAGTTAAGATCCAGAAATGCTGTACTAATGAATTTCATTCCTCCGGGATTCTTATCACATCCAAGACAAGCCGTATTATCCCCAAGGCTTCCCGTCATTCTCGTCCATCCCGGTCCTTGATGTGGATCTTTTGCAAAATCTGCCCAAGCTTTCATCATGTACTTACTCAAGGCAATTTGGTCCTGAGTAGAAGGAGCATACTTTTCAAACTCTTTGTATGTGCCAAACACAATAGGGATCTCAGATGAATGAAAAGCACCGACACTATTGAGCCCGTATTCTGGTAGGATCAGAGGTGCCTGCGTATTAGGAAAAGTCCCATTGAATAAGTAGCGCCATGTTGGGTTTTGCGAAACTGCAGAGGCCTTTGAAACAAGAGAAGCGGGCTAAAGAGAGAAGATTGAGTTAGTTTGGAGACCGATACAGCAAATTTGAAGGCAAAAAGAACAGGCGCGATTTTCTATCCTTACTTACACATTTATACAGAATATCGGATGCCAATTGTGACAGTGCCAAAAACAAGGCGACTGCTCCTTTGGAAGTTGTGCGCACAACTTGATCTCGTATGAACCCTGCGACTTGATCGCCAAGCATCCGAGCCGAGAACTCGTATGCGGCATCCGCAGACTTTGATTCATAAAGCTCTTTGAAAAAAGGTTGAAGAAACAATGAAGCTTCAAGGCCATTGCTTCCTATCAACATAGGAACAGGAGCAGCATGCCCCGAAGAACGACGTATGATTTGAGGGGTGGCCAGTTGAGTTACGCCATCGTTAGCGGGAGTGAAAACAAGGGCTTCTTCCTTTACCAGAGATTTAATCTTGGAAGCATCGACTTTTCTGACGCAATCTAACTCACTACTAGAGCCATCGCAGGCCAGATGCTTCACAAGTGAGCGCCAGCTCTTCAAGCCGTCTGCGGGCGAAGCCACACTGACACTGGCTTGTCCGCTCTGTAGTATGGCTGCCCTGTAAGGCAGTGGGCTTGGGGGAGCAGTGAGTAGCCGGTCGACAGAGGAAGCACCAGAACTTTCACCGAAAATGGTCACTTTTTCAGGGTCTCCTCCGAACGCCCGGATGTTCTGTTGCACCCATTCAAGCGCTAGACGTTGATCTAGGAACCCAGCGTTTCTATGATTGGATGGGAGTTCTGGTGAATTGGAGAAGCCAAAGACTATTGTTTCTTGGGTCAGCATTAAATAAAGTAAAGGTGGATCAGATCAGACCATTTGTTCGATAGTTGGCCGATACTACTATAACATCTTGGTATGCAGCGAAGAAAGCACCGTCATAGTTGGGCTGGCCTGCGTTACCAAACTGCAAGTTGCCACCATAGATCCAAAACATCACAGCCTTATTGCGTGTAGTGGTGCCTGGGACATAGACGTTGAGGAAGAGGCAATTCTCGCTTTCTTCAGAGGTGTCCACCAGGGGACCGGGTTCTATGATTCAAGTAAGCCTTGGACTCAGCCATGTTGAAGAGCCAAGTACCTGTGTTCTCTATGCATTTTGGTCCCCACTCTCTTGCTTGTATGGTTTTGGAGGACTGTTTCACAGGCTCTGGTGGTGCGAACCTCTTCAGAGGTAAATCGGCAAATGGCACCCCCAGAAATTTGTCCACTGTGGGCGAACCTGCCTCTACAACCGTAGCGGTACCAATGATTGTTCCCTGTTTTAAAGAAACGCTCGGAGTAGCACCGAGGCTATCCAGAGAAGGCACATTCTGTTGAGGTAGAGCAAGGGAATGGGATACAAGCCAGACAGGCAGGAGAATGTATCGAGAAAACCACATTGACTGTGATGCTAGGGACTTGAATAGATGACGGTACAAGGGATCGAATTGTATACAAAGAGAGCTGGGAAGCAAAGTGAAGGAGCACTTTTGAAGCAGATGAATCGCCAGTCTTATAGTAAACTTGAGTAAAGCCACATAGCTCCTTGTAGACCAGAACGAATAGCTGCGTTAGTTCTAGTTTAGAAAAACCAACTTCTCCATTAACTAAAACTGGCTCGTCAGCTAACAATATTTAGCTGGCGGAGAAAACAGGCTCAAGTGGCGTTGGGGAGGACTCCATAGGCCTTTTTAGATATGCAAGGCGCATATGCCTCCTATTGGCTTTTAAATGCCCCTGGGACCTTATTGATCTCTTTACCCCGCAAAGTTCTCAAATTTTAACTCAGCTAGAAAAGTGATTATTCTCTATAGATTGGGACTAGCTCATCAGCTGACAACCTTTAGCCAATAGAGAAAACATACTCAAGTGGTGTTATGGGAGACTCTGTAGACTTTTGAGATATGCACGGCGCATATGCCTCCCATTGGCTTTCAAATGCCCCCGAGACCTTGTCGATCTATTTACCCCGCAAGTTCTTAAATTTTAACTCGGCTGCTAAGCTAAGGTACCGAGGCCCATTCTTTTTATTACTTACTAAACATTCGACTCAGAGCATAACTCTTTTCAGAATCACTCGCTCTTTATTAATCTCGGCCTAATTCTTATCAAAAACGGAGGTGGTTTGCAGGAATTTCCTTCCAATTTTGGATGGGGTAATCTCGAGCCAAGACTAGACTAACTGTCAAGATGTGCCGTAGCGTGTTTCTTTCCGGGATTTAGCTTCTACAAGACAAAAGACGAGGGACACTGGTCGACGTCTAATCGATCTCTGACCAACTACTTTACATCTGAAAGTGGACATTATGGCAGTTGTAGTCAGAAACCAGTGAAACTACTTTCTCAAAGTGCTGGGATTCGTCAGCACGAAGTATGTGATGTAAGGGGCTGTTTTGACAGACATAATGCTGGCTCTCGGCTTTACATTCACTCATCTTGTAGGTTCAATGCTATGAAGGACGGGAACTGGTTCTAGCTGAGCTCCAACTTGCAGCTTTTGAATAAGAATTTAGGCTCCAAATAGGGGCTTATCAAAGTATGGATCGTGGCACAAGAATTTGGCGCAAACTTCCAGGGTCATGAGGCTGAAAGTTGCGAGTGATCATACATAATGTTGAGAATGAAGAAATTACCGACATGTTCCTGTGCGTTCCCGGGATTGATCTTGTAGATTGATAAGGGAAACATCAGTCAACAACTGCTATCTAAGGCTATCCACCATATATATTCAAGTATTCGTCAAAAGTGACTTTTTCAAGCTTTCGGCCGCAGGTAAAATAATAAAGAACACAGCTACCAACGAATACAACGACCTGCTCATCCTCCAATTTCCTTCCTTCCTGCTAGTGGTACAGAGAGACTCAAGACCCCTTCATATCATACTAAGAGAAAGCTTCCCGTGGTAAGATAAACTACTACATGTATTCTAATGCCTCCTCACTGTCCAACGTTTGGAAAAACTCATATGCAACTCTCCCAATCGCCCAGACTCGGGACATGCTTTCCATTACTAGTTTCCACTTCTGCAGCTTATCCCTTAATATCTGCCGGAAGGATGAAAGAGCAGACCGAAACTGGTAGATGTATACAATGCCAGCCAATAAGAGGCTATAAACAGCGAATGATGGACAATACTTAAGTTCATCCCGACTCATGAGACACCCGGTTATGGTTGAGACCATGTCCGCAGCCTGTAAGGCTACAGAATCTGACGAATCAGACTGAGAGGTCTGGGGATAAGGCGCTGAAATTGGAAATATTACCGATTGATGCAAAAGACAGAGAGTTGTGTAATACTTCAAGTGCAAGAGCGCTGGCCAGAATTCATGTCGAGATGGGTTCCAAGAGATCGTTGGGAGGGATTTTCGATGCCAATCAACTAAGACTTGGTCACTGAAATTTACCTCTCTGGCTCCCGAAGATAGGAGAGCTGTAGCCGAGTAGTGCCGTGACAAGATGCAACCAATAGCCTGGCAAAGCTTAACGCATTCCAAATAGTACTGGACCTGCGCTGGTGTGAGAGAATACTTGGAGTCGCTGCGCGAATTATGCTCGGCAAAGTCTTGCGCACTTATCATCGCTACATCCGAATCCTTGAGATTAATGCAAGGAGCTCGGCCAAAGGACATTGCAGTAAACCTGTCTCGGGTGAAAAGAGTCCACCATATGCGCTTACGCATACTTTTGTCAACAGCGCTTAGCTGAGATCCATCGACACAGCGGTGTAGGCCACAGCCTTGCGCCACGGCAATCGCCAGACGGGTCCAGTCGCCGAGACTCTCCACCGCGTCCGCCGAACCTCCTTGATACCAGCCTAGGAGTATCAATGACTGGATTATAACTAGACGATCATCTTCGTAGTTGGCATCATACAGAGCTTTGGCTCGTTTGTAAAAGGCGGAGGCAGAAACTTCTGCAGTAGCATTCTCAAGGTGTTCAGCCCTGTAAATATGGCTCCCGGTGAGGAGAACACATTGAACAAGCAGTATGGAAGGTGGGTCGTCAGGATCCCGATATTGGGACATAAAGCGAGTACGGTTGATGACTGGTATCATGGGATGAACCCATGCGAAGTAGGATTCGACAAGTTTATCAGCAAGTGACCGCGGAGGGAGGAGAAAGGCTCCTCGCTGTTCCAGTATCTGGTTCTCGACATCATCGCTTTTAGTACGGTTGGCTTTTGTACCTCGACTGCTGTCAGGCAGCAGATAATGAATAGCATTTCCCGAGTTCTGCTCTTGGTGGGTGAGCAAAGTTGCATGAGAAGAATCGCCAAGGTATGCAACAAGGCCAGGTTCGGTAATTGAAGGCCAAGGAGATGTTGGCTTCATGACGTTGTCCACGTATAGATTATGCTGCGTTTGGCCGCTCTCAATCTGTAGCATTTTTAGAACCGCACTCATCAAAGAAAATAAGAATCACTCTACTGATGACTTGTTTGGCTGGATTCTTCTGAGGTCTGAGACAACCGAGGCCTCGTCTCGAGACCCATCCGTCGCGATCTCGTCTCTCGCAAGCCGATTTTGCAATGCCCGCCGAGGGATTGGCAGGCGGCATGGAACCCCGCGATGGAGACAATTGGAACATGGAGCACCTCGCTCTTGCATATCGCATCGAATCTGAGTATGCAATAGTCAGCGACTGCTGTTGAACAACGTATAAGTTGATATCAATTGCAAGACAAGGCTCGGATAGTGGAAAACTTAAACGTAGACATACTTTGCGTGAGCGGCATTTCTGAATTGATTGTCAGCATTCAGACTTCATTGGTGAGAGGCCAAATTTGAAGAGGCTCTTTTCGAAGTAGATACTCCAGAAGATCAACTTGCAGTGAGCGGAATAAACGACATACCTCGCAGGCTTTCAGGCCTCGCTGCCTATGGTAGACACAGTCCTCGTCAGATTCCGTTGAAACATTGATGTGTCATGGCAGGGTCCCTCCTACATTTGTGACATTATCACTCTGCGATGCGGTGGAATTGATCTGCATTGAATGTGTGGTTACAGGGCAAAGTCTGTAGAGGAATGCGTGTAACGGTGAGAATGCTAAGAGATGCCGAACTGATAAACGAATAAGCAGTAAATGTTCCTGTCTACTGTGCGATCCATTTAATTGTTCTGTCGCCGACGCCGCTAACGTCATGAGGGCGATGATCAGCCCCTTGCGCCAGCCAGGCCCCCTCTTGGCTGATGTTGTTTTGCTATTAGGCGGCACGGAGCCAACTCCCAAAGACATAGCAAACCCAAAACAAAGGACCTCCATATTGTTCGCACTTAGACTAGTAGGGGAATCCCCGCAAGCCAGGTATGTATGTATACAGCACTACTTTGGCGAAACACACAAACTAGCGAAAGAAGGTGTCTGTTGGAACTAATGCATGGCGCAAACCATCATCATTGGTTGATGGCGCAGGTCCTCGCATTCTGCTAGCACAAATCAAGACCTCAAGGTTTGTTCTAACGCGGAAGAATTCTACCCCGAGCGCTAATAGTCTTGATTTGCCCCTCCATCACCAGGGGCCGTCCGCCTCTTGTTATTTTACATTCATCTGCCATATCTTATCTAAAGTGTTGTTTGTTTCAATTGGCAACACACCCTGCGTTCTTCTCTGCGGCTGTTCTTATTACCCATGGTGCGACGTCTGAGAACACAATCTGGTTGTTTGACCTGCCGCCGCCGGAGGAAAAAGTGCGACGAGACGAGGCCGCGTTGTGCTCTCTGTATGAGAAGCGGGATTCATTGTGTATGGCAAGCAAGTCAATTCGGATCTGAAGAGGGTCGTGTTGGCGCTCTGATGACCATCCGAGATCATGCATCATTTCCAAATCTTCTCAGTTCTACAAATAATCTACCATCTTCATATTATGCATGCAATAGCCCCAGTTCTGGCATACCCACTTCTTTTACACTTCTGATCAAGGATCTTCGAGTTGAGATGGCAGCTCGATGCCCTGAGTTTCTATCTTTGACTCTCGACCCTTCAACTCTCACGCAACGTCACAGCATTCAGGAAATAGCTGAGGAGTTATTCAGATACCGCTATACATGCGACGCGTCTATCACATTCGTTGCTACAGCACAGATGCTGCAATACCCAGACACATACAATCACATGTTGGGTTTCAGATGTATGGCGCTGGCCAAGTTGAGGAATTTCTTGTTGAGACCCGAGCTATCCCATATGACAGATGATATGCTCTGCGCATCAGTTGTCAATATGACCCTCCTAGCATTATCTGATGTAAGAACCACCTCTCCCTCTCGAATTCTCTTAATAACAAGTCTTTCTTGGATAGCTTTTCGGAACTGGAGACGGCGATGCTGCGTTCAGCCATTGTTCCGCCCTGTTGCAGATCATGAGCGGCATGGATTATCAGTCTAGCTCGAGAATGATGACCCGTATGCCCTTTTTTAGTCGGCTTGCGATTGAAACAGCCATATTTGGCACTTCAACTCTGGCCATATTCCAAGAAAATCCAGATTGCAGAATGTGGCCAAGTGCATGGGAAAGGCTCGAAAAGCTCTATGCGTGTGAAACCCATCATGCATGCGGTGACATCGACGCTTCACCTCTCCTCCGAGGTCATCCAGATCTCTTCTTCCTTCTCTTAAAGCTTGTTGAACTGAGCCGGGTACAAGACCCAGTGGAAAGAGGTGGCCGTTTGTCCGTCATAGAGCATCGTCTCTTAACGCTCAAGCGAGACAACTTCCACATATACGGCCGCAACGCAGATGGCGAAGCGACTCACTTATGGGGCATCATCTGGGAGCACGTAATCTCAGTCCTTGGCATCTATGTCACGAGTCTTCGAAACCCTAATTACTGCTCTAGATCACCACAGATCTCAAAACAAGTCAAAGCCGCATTGCCAGCGTTGAAGCTAATATGGGGGCTTCAGAATGACAAGTCTATAGCCTGGAAATTACCATTCGCAGCCCTAGACGTCGGAATAGTACGAAATGTGGGTGTCCAGACATTTTTGATGATTGTTGTCTGTGCTGTTGATGACATAGAAGACCTAGAGCTGCTGGTTCGCCGATTCTACCAAGGAAAGGCATTTATCTCGGAAGCTTATTTCCAGAAACTTCAACAGGTGATTCAGACTGTCAGACGTCGGAAACTTGATAATTATGAAATTTGTACTGGAAATGCAACCTTGCCTTGTAATGGAAAGCATGATGGTCTTGATATCCTTCGACTAAAATCATAGGACAAAGGTCTAACAACACCATACAGTATGCCTACTAAAGTATATTAAACTTGCCTCTTTTTAAAATCTTCAAATAAAATCTAATAGCATATGCCGATGAAAACAATTTTCTTCTACAATGCCATGGGAGACATATTTAAGGAGTTCAGATATCATTTAGCCTCTATAAAGCCCTTTCAAAGTCATTTCTGACGCGTTGTGACAGTTCTTCATCTGCCAACACCCTAATTGCTGTCATCGCCAGCCCTCTGGCACAATCCATAGCTGCTTTGTGAGCACCCCCCTTTCCAGCACACGTAGCAAAGTCTGGATGGTGTATGGATACATCTGAGGTAGTAGGGATAGCAAAACCACCATGGAAGCCCGGAACACGGTAAGAAACGTTACCCATGTCCGTAGAAGCAGGCACGTTCTCCTCTGGCTTTATCTTCAGTCCCAGCTTGGCCATTTCCTCGACGTAGGTGTTCGAAAGGGTGCTGTTAACTAAAAGGTCGCTGTATAATGGTGCTCTAAATTTGTTTGGTCAGCAGACCAAAAGGAGATAGAAGTGGTGAAACTCACATTTCATATTCCACCTGGCAATTTGCTGCTGCAGCTCCGGCCTCGAAGCAGGCATGCACTCTCTTGACGAGGTCACGGCATCCAGCCAGCGTGGGACTGCGAATGCACCAATTCATTCGAGTGTACTGGGGGATAATGTTGGGAACTGTGCCACCATCCTCGAATACACCGTGCACTCTCTCATCTGGTCTAATCTGCTGTCGTAACATGGAAACATTGACATATGCAGCAACAGCAGCATCTAACGCGTTGATCCCATTCCACGGTTCCGCACCCGCATGCGATGCTCGGCCCTTGAAAATGACCTTGGTCTTGTATGCCGCAATGCTCCTCGTCCCAGCTATCCCATCGTACACCAGCCCATCAGAGTTTGGTCCCGAGGTCATTGGATGTGACATCAAAGCCGCCGCGATATCCTGCGGAGGATCAAAAGCCCCAGCCTCAAGGAGCTTAATTTTACCGCCTCCACCTTCTTCAGCTGGCGTTCCAAGGATGCGCAAGCGCCCAGGGAGCTTGGTCATCTGCAGAGCACGGGCGGCGCTGACAAAAGCTGCGAGAGAGGATGTAGCGATGAGGTTATGGCCGCAGCCATGGCCGATGCCTGGGAGTGCATCGTATTCAGCGCAGAAGACGACTTGACGACCTCCGGAGCCGAATGTTGCTTCAAAGGCGGTGTCGAGGCCCCATGCGTGACGTTTGACTTGAAAACCGTTATGTTCGAGGAAGTCGGTTAGTTTGTCGTGGGCAAAGACTTCTTGGTATGCGAGTTCGGGATGGGAGTGGATGCTGAGGTTGACTTCTTGGAAGGCGGGATTGAGAGCATCCAGTGTCGAAGCGATAATTGAGCTGCACTGGTCGATAATGTCTACCTTCTGTAAAGGCACAACATCGCCAGGTGTTGGCGCAAATCGGCCGGGGGAGGAAGTTGAATCAATCACCATCATTTTGTCTGAGGGGATGCAAGTATATTCTAAGCTACAGGACACCGTTGGATGCTTCTCACATGACATGCATTGTTATATACTACTCTCGACTCGCAGGCCAATGTGGATTTGTTCCGAGGAGTCTTGATTGCCGGTTCGCGTCCCGGGTGATTCAGTGCGTTACCAGTACCCCAGTAATGGCCAGTCCCAAGCCACTGAAAGCAACCCCAAGCGGTTATCAACTTAGTGAAGAGGATCTCCAGAGCTGGGGTAAAGAGCCAAACCCTTTCTGGACGTGTAGCCGACGAAAGATAGCGGGCTCCACTGAAATTGCCGACCAGTCTCATAAGTAAGATCTCCTCACTCTGCAACTTCAATCACACATCCACTTACCTGCTCATTCATCTTATGATTCCTCTTATCTCGTTCGATATTGCTTGTTTGGTCATCATCTTCGGCTATCGGCTATCACTCCAAGAGTGGAAATAATAATGTCCTCATCTCCCTCCACTGCAACTTCACCAACGCCACTAGGCCGATCAGCTCCGAGATCCCGCAGCGGCTGCTGGACATGCCGAACCAAGAAGGTCAAATGCGACGAGATACGTCCTGTTTGCCGACGATGTCTACGCCTTAAGCTTAGCTGCGATTATGCACCTCGACTCCGCACCTTTCCTAAAGGGTCCTCAGCTGGAACGTTTGTCCACTCAAGCCTCGACTTCTCTTGCGTTGAGCCCAAGCCTCGTGGAGATGTACCAAATAAGCCTTTTTGTGGAAATCCTCGGCCTGGAAGTGAGGAGATATCACCCTCATTGAGCACGCCTTTCCAATGGGGCACTTACGGGATGGAACTCGGCAGTGAAGAGATCGAAGCGATACAGTACTTCCGGGAGTCATTTTCGCCACTTTACATCATGAAGAAGCCAGAGTACTCTGCATTTGCGATTATGCTACGCCTCGCTACACATGATCCTCTTGTACTACATATGATACTTGCGATTGGAGGCTGCGGTATCGATTACAGGCACCAGTGGCATGAGAGACAGTACGGTGTATCGACAGATGGTGGCCCCTCAAAATACCGGACACTTGGGCTCAAGCAGTATTCCGAGGCATTGCGAGAACTACACACCATATTGGGCCATGAAGAAACAGCCGCGTCTGCCAATCTTGATTCACTGACAAGCGGGTTGGTCCTCATGATTATGTATGAACAACTCCATGGCGATACCAGATGCAAGGGACTTGCCAGCCATCTAAACGGAGCAGCACTTATTTTCAAGCATCATTATGCTGATATCCTACAACGCGCCAGAGATACAAGTCAGTCAGTTCCTTTAATGAGAACAACCCAATCAGGAAGTCCTCGGCATCTATCCCAATTTTGCGCTCGGCTGATAACAAGAGTCTGCGGAATGGACGCTACAGCGGCATCTTTTGGACTCGGCGGGCAGGTCACTAGGGTGATCTGCAGAACCTTGCCAGAAGGCGACGACAAGAGCAGTTTGCCGATGGGTCCAATCAAGAGATTGTCCAGTCTCCACGCTTATTCTGGACCGCTTTACCGTTTGGTCTGGGGTGATGACTACCCCGCAGTAGAGCTGGTAGATGATCTAGAGAACCAGCAGGTATTTGAACTGCTGGAGGCTAGTGTTCAGCTACGGTACCTTATCTCCGAGATGACGAGTCTTCAGCCCGTTGGTGGTTCAGCACCAGCTCTAGCTGCGAAAAAGGTTGAGAGCGCGATTCAGGAAATTAGCGAGAGATACATCAATATTCTTGAATTTGCGTCACGGCTCACTTCAGCTACTGATAACTCTCACTCTATGGTCCCGACCATACGTTGGGTAGTGCCTATATACTACACCGAGGTCCTCGACTTTCTCCGCATTGCCAGGACCATACACCCTCCTCTAGAGCTATCACTTAATGACGGCAAATCGATCCGTAACATCATGAATCTAGCTTTTCAAGCTTACAAACACGGAGGAAGCGCGGCCATGGTTCGGATTGCCCGTCCACTATTCATGGTGGCTTTAGAGACTGATGAAGAACTCCATGTTTCGTGGATTCTTGAGAAATTCAAGGGTTTGGAACGGTTTGGGGAGCATTTTGCGCGCGCGCGTGACTTCTTGGAGAGGGTTTCGAAGATGAGGCCGGAGTTGAGGACGAGTATCGATCTACGGACTACGTTCTCGAATCAGGCTACTTCGATATGCTTGTGCCTAATGTAAGGGTTATCAAAGGACTAAACCTGAGCTTCGATAGTCTCAAATACAGAGACGCTTGTAGGATTCGATCTGCTTCACCGTGTGCCTTGTTTTCGAGGTAGGCTCTTATTGGTATATCGGGATTTAGCCTATCTGTGACAGCAGGATGTAAGCTCGCTATCGTGTACCTGATCGATCCATGCTACCCTAGTACACTCCCCTGACTTATCTCCCGTTGTAAATCCCCTCCCTTGTCGACAGGGAAGTTGGCCGCCATCGGAACCCCTCGGCCTCATTCCGCGGATCCTCCACCATTTCCATCTGAAGTCTAGTCATAAAACTCTATCAATAAGGTATGATACTCCAGATCTCTCATCGGCTACCCCGCACTTTCTCGTCGGCTATCAGAACCAATGTGGTTAGTTCATCTCAACTTCCCAAGCCATGGTGATAGCTAATGTAGTATTCGGTTGTTTGTGTTGCAAACGACTTCTCCCTGTTTCGTCAACGATAGCTCAACCTAAGATAAGTTCGACATGGAGCACTTAAGATGACCCTTTCCCCCCTTTCCGTTCGACATCATCAAACAATTCATCAACATCAACCCATCTTCCAATACCAAGCCTAGCTTCTACGCCGGACAATCAATCTGCAACAATGACTATCAAAGATGCATCAGACACTGTTGATATCAAGCTCGAAGACAAAGAGCTCGACAAAACAGACCATGCCTCAGTTGCCAATGGAGCCATCCTCGGTCGAGATCTAACACCAGAAGAGGATCGAAGAATCCTGCGGAAAGCAGATCTTCAGTATGCACTCGTAACCGACAAACCATTATCAAGATGTGGACTGATGTAGAACAGTCTGCTTCCTATCATGGCATTTGCCTACCTCTTCCAATTCCTAGACAAAACTGCACTCAGCTATACCGCCATCCTCGGCCTTCGCGAAGATCTACACCTCAAGGGAGAAGAATACGGCTGGGCATCTGCAATCTACTACTTTGGGTTCCTCGTCGCAACGTACCCCATTGCCGGTGTATTGCTCGTTCGATTTCCCATTGCAAAGGTCATCGCTGTTACCATGTGAGTATCACTGTTCTGTCTATCTGAAGGTAGAGTTCATTCTCTGACCGCCACTCCTAGGTTTATCTGGGGAGCCATTTTGATGTTTACGGCTCTTTGTGGCAACGCCAAAGACCTACTTGCAACTCGTTTCTTTCTCGGTGTGGCTGAGACTGCGATTGCCCCCGGTCTTTCTATGATTGTGGCCATGTGGTACAAAAGATCAGAGCAGCCATTACGTCAAGGTGCTTGGTTCCTCGGAAACACGTCTGCAGGTATCCTTGGTGGCCTTGTCAGTTATGGCTTTGGTGAAATTAAGACATTTTCTCCTTGGAAGGTAAGTGGAAAATATTATGGGGCTGATTTGTTATGCTAACTTCTTTGAGGCCATCTTCATCTGCTTTGGAGCTTTGACGATAGCTGTTTCCATCATGGTTCTACTTTTTCTCCCCGATACGCCCGCCAATGCCCGTTTCTTGACCAAAGAGGAGAGAGCTCAAGCCGTTGCTCGTGTTGAAGCAAATATGACTGGCATCAAGAATGACAAATGGAAGAGGGAGCAGGTTATGGAGGCACTCTGCGATCCAAATGCCTGGCTTCTCGCAGTCAGTTATCTTGCTGCAGTCATCCCTAATAATGGACTTCTGACAGTAAGTCGTGCTCTTGTGCCTTTATGCATAACGACTCACAGCTTTACAGTTCAATACCATCGTTATCCAGGGTCTTGGCTTCTCCGTCCTAAAGACACTCCTGCTGAACATCCTGCCCTCTGTCTTTCAGCTGGTCTTTGTTCTCATATCTGTCATTGGAAGTACCTATCTCCCAAACACTCGGCTGATGTTTATGGCTTTCAATGTCATCGTCAGCATCGTTGGGGCTGTGATGGTGCGTGAGGTTGACCCAGCCCATAAGTGGACTCGCGTTATGGGTTGTGCTCTCGCTGTTTCCTTTACTGCAAACTTTCCCATGACCATGGCTATGGTATCAAGTAATTTCGCTGGCTTTACTAAGAAGTCTACAGTCAGTGCCATGGTATGCTGATCCCGAAGTTGGTAGTACCTATCTGCATTACGCTAACTTGAAAACAGGTCTTTATCGCATATTGTGCTGGGAATATTGTTGGCCCTCATCTGTTCTTCCCTTCCGAGGCCCCAGGCTACAAGTCGGGATTCCTGGCTATTATGATCTGCCTGGCAATTTCTGCTGTCCTCTGCATTGTCCTGCGGTTCTATCTCATCTGGGAGAACAAGAAGCGGGACGATGCTGGAGATGCCATCGAGGGACCATCAGAAGGGATCAATCTTAGTGACAAAACAGATAGAGAGATCCCCCAGTTCCGTTACATCTATTAGTTAAACTCCAGACTGTATGCAGTATTATATAAAATAATCTTAAATTATGTAATACTTAGTTAAAAAAGAATTATAATTATAAATCAGTAGGCTTAGCTAATTGAAAAAAGCTATAGCTTTACCTTACTTAAGATAACAGCTAATTATAATACTCACTTTCTTAAGAGCGCTGCGGGCGGCCAGGTGAGGAAGCTGAATCAATTATCAGCATTCTCGTCTAAGTGGCTGCGTGAATGGGGTTATTATTAGCTACCTGCGCTCAATCTGGGGTTTCCGCCTAAGATTTGTGCAAATGATATAATTGCTGTTCATTGCTTCTTAAATGACATGCATTGTTATATCCTACTTGGAATTCGGAGATCACTGTAGGCAATGGATTCTCCGACGTTGAGACTGCCCAAGGATCAAATGTGACGAGATACATCCCATTTGCCGACAATACGCACTCCTCATGCTCAGCTGCGACTAAAGGCACAGATAGCTTTTGATCATTGCCGACGGTACGCCACGACTTTGGGGGGGGGATTGATCAAATAGGGATCCCGGCAGGAAGGTACTGTGCATTTTAAGTACTCCCCGAGGTCACAACTTGTCCTAGAGTAGCACGCTTGACAGGAGATGCCATTTTTTTCTGAGACTTTGCCTATAATATATATGTCAAAGGTATCTGAAAGGGATGCCAATCTATGTTGAATATATCTTGATGGTATTTCCGTTCCTGAATAAAGTGTTTGGTGAGATATCTTTTAATAATCTTTATCTTCTGCGATCGGATATGATAGCCGGGTTATTGGAACTATTGGGCTTAGTGCTAAGCACTACTGCAGACGAAGACAATTAAGAGATGTGATATGATAACTGGCTGGTGGCTTGCGCCATAAAAGAAGTCAGGTGGTTATCTCACAAAGTCTAGAACAGTCTTTATGCATCAGCGCTATCAACCCAGTTTTCAATAGCTAGGTATAAGGCTCACTTATGCCCCTCAGTTTTAGAGGATATAGACCTTGAATCAGTTTTCAATAACTCAAGAGTCCAAAATGCACTGTCTTACCTCTTATTCTTTACCTCTCTGTCTCTGGGTTATCTCTCTTTGCATTTTAAGCGCAACCGCTTTGCCTGGAGGCTGTGGCGGGTCTTTGGGCACTGTCAGTATCACTTCAGCACATTTTCAGGGACTCAGGTGGACCTGTTCGAACATCAACCCAAGCTCTGTGCCGGGAAGTGGCGACAATCTGCTACTCTCACATTCCATTGAAAGTGATGTGAAGACGTGTGGAACATATTGTGGTAATCACTTCGGCGACGTCATGGCAGCTTTCTGGTACCCGTATAACTCGACGTGCCAGTGTTGGGACATTGGATTATTCAATAGCGACTTCACTGCAGCTCGACATAAAACCTCCAACATCACCCTCATTGACTTTTACGATAAGCCGCCCAGCCCTGCGGTCAAATTTGGTGTCTTTACCTGCCCAGCTGGTGCGTACAGCGCCAAGATGTCGACTTACGGTTCCTGTGGCCCTTTAAGTGTCACCCCTGCCAGTGCTCCTTTAGTCAAAGGTACATCAGCCTTGCTTACTTGTAGGACCGTCAAGGCAGAGTATGCAATCCAGAATAGTAAAGGGACCTTTGATTGCTACAAGGGACTGTCAAAAGCCAAGTACCATTATCAGTACTTGTCGACATTCACTCTATACGACCTTGTTGACTTTCCAACACCCAAGGAAAAGGAGTAATGAGCCAAATTTACAGTTCGATTGAACTTGAATCAACAAGTGGAAGAGGGAGCAGTTTATGGAGGCACTTTCTACTATCCTCTACATTATCCTACACAAGAAGCGGGATGAAACTAGAGATGCCATCGAGGTATTATTAAAAGAGATCAATCTTGGGGAGAAGACAGATTAAGGGATTCACAGTTCAGTCACATACACTAGTTAGGTTGCTGACTTTACAGAGTATTATACACATATGGGCTTGTGTCATATTAGGCTAAAATGGCGCATGGTAAAAAAAGACCTTAGTTCAAGATAATCAATTTCAGATTAGTTTTTGATGCATTTTCTGTTATAAACCCTAACTACCGAGTATAGATACTGGCTATCATTCATCTGAAATTTCACCTCAGTACGTTCACCCTAGCTACTGGGCTATTTGCTGCCTTCCTTGCCACTATACACTTTGGCGAACATCCTTCTTAGCCCATCCATGTCACAAAACTCGATGACCTTTGTGACCTTGGACCCATCCGCATTGAAGTCCAAGACCCACGAATGTTCTATGACATCCTCTTCGCCGCTCTTGTATTTCATACCCGTCACGGTCGTTGCGGCTGATTTGCGTGCCTCGGTGTCGATAGTCAAGTCAGAGACGTCGCTGTAAGTGACTACGTATTTCTCGAGGTCGAGAGCCATGGCGGCTTCGTAGTCGGCGTTACTCAAGCCATCTTCCGGAGGCGATCCGAATAGCTGAAGAACACCAGCTGGCTTGAAGTATCTTTTACAGGAGTCGGTGACATCACGGTTGATGATAGCTGGGTTGTTTTGTTCTCCAGCTTCTTTGTAGGCAGCCAAGAACCGTCTGGTTGTGTTCTCAATAGCGTCTCTGAGTTCCTGCTGTGATGTCATGCGTGCGGCGATATACCTTGATGTCTTAGGCAAGTTTTCAATTTCTGTGAGATTTGATCACAAGTATCTGGGTTTTGCTCCGTAGTACATGTATTTATACGGTTTACTTGCTTACAGTCAGCCAAATAATAATCTGTCAGCTGACGCAATCCTTGGGCTATGGGAACCGGGTAAGTATGTTAATAACCAGAGTAAGCTTGGTACTCTCTTACGTCATCACGAGTATGGATTGCCTGAAAAATGTACTGTAAGCCAAGACTTTATTGAAATTTAAATAGACGAAAAAGATAACAAATTGGTCCGAAATTGGACTTGCCGCGGATCGTATAGGGTATATCTATTTATAGATACTTGCTATACGAATGTGACATGAAGCGGCGGAAAGATACTCCGAGTCACAGTGGGCAATTTTCAGCACCGGAAGCGGCCGCTCGGTAGAAATAAACTTGCTTTGCAAGGCAGATATAAGGATAAAATAACCTCTGAAGAGCCCCATCTTAGCCCTATAAACTCGTCACCAAGGCCAACGGATTCAGAAGGTGGTTGATGTGAAATTGGGTCGCTTCAGGCAGCTCACCAAAGATCAGGGCGGGCTGTGCTCATGACCCCACCTCGAAGGGGCAGCCTCTTTACCTTTTCCGTCGTAGATCACTTCCATCAAGGAGAGCCCCGGCCCTTCGAAAGAAACTGTCACTTCTCCCTGCTCAACTCTCAACATCCTTCATGACTCACGCCATGTGAAGGAGACATCCCTGGAATGAAGGGCCTGTGCTTGTATCATCATATACTAGGCTTTGCACGCCCGCTTATCACCACGTGGAGATCGTCCCTGGTAACTGATCTCATGCCAGAATGTCAGACTTTGGTGCCAAGGTGAAATGGAAGAGGGCGAGGGCGCCGAAGGTGAGATCTGGCTGTAGAACATGGTAAGTCGAACACTTGGACACATAAAATTCAATGCTAATCAAAGTAGCAAGTTCGTAGCACATTACTGCATATTAACTAGAACTTTGCTGACCGTAGTCTAGAATTCGGCACCTCAAATGCGATGAACGCAAGCCTACGTGTTTCAGATGCGAAAAAGACCAACGGACGTGCGACGGCTACCTTGCGCCCCCAGAAAGCAAACCAAAAACAAAATCTCTCGCCCTTCATAGAAAACAGTATGACCTCATATCCCGTCGCATCGCGACAGCCTCGAAGCTTCTTGTCCCAGCAGCTCTATCACCAGAGACATTCGGTTCGACGATTGAGTTGGACCTCTGCCACCACTTCCGAACATACACAGTATCAGAACTTGCGAGCTCGCTCAACGCAATGAGCTTCTGGCACGCGTATGCGCTGCCACTCAGCCAGACGTCAAAACCCGTCAAGGCTGCGATTGGAGCGTTGGGAGGGGCACACAAAGCTTTCAAGCTTCAGACCCAGACCGACTCATTAACGCAGTCTGTTGCAAAATCTTACGAGATCGCATCTATCCAGCAATACAACAATGCAATTCGGGTAATGCAAGAGTACATGAACTCACCCGATAAAAACATTCAGGTTATTCTAACTTGTTGCTTAATATTTATCTGCACCGAGAGTCTCTACGGGCGTTACAAGAACGTTACGCGGCATTTGGAAGCCGCATTCTCTTTATTGAACTCCTGTGATCGATGGGACCTAGCCAAGTTTATGGAAAACATTGGCCCTTCGTTATGCGGCCTGGCATCTGATCTATTCTTTTACGTGGGGGACAACCATTCCTCAAAGCTTGTCTCCGAGATTACAGAATGGGCTGATAAACAAGACCCGATTGACCTAGAAGAACCCGGCGAACCCTTCACTTCTGCACAAGCTGCAGCTGCAGCACTGACACGAGTCGAGACACTTTGCGATGTAGAGATGTACGCCGATTGCCCAAAATGTTCGGATGATGGCGTGCTGTGCGGTGACGGTGGGGTTTCATGTGAGAGACGAGATAAAGGTCTAGTCTCGGAAGCCTTTTACCATCATTGGAGCGCACGATATCAAGCTTTCAAGAAGACGTTCGATCCGTCAAAGGCCTCAGAGTCAGAGCTGTTTCGGTTCAAAATACTTGAGTGCGAAGAGACTACATGGCAGGCCACTTTCAAGCTCAACCACATCAACGACGACCTGGAAACAGCCGATTGCATCGAGATATTGAAGAAAGCAGAAGAGGTCATCAAGATGACGCAAAGCGATAAGGGTCAGATCTTCACATTTCAGGCCAATCTCGTCCCTCCAATATCCTACGTTATAATATCATGTCAGGACACAAGTGTGCAATGGGAGGCGGTGAGGCTTCTGCGGTGTCTTGGGAGACGGGAGGGCGTTTGGGACAGCAGGAAAATGGCAGATATTTACACGAATATGATCAACGCAAGGACGAACAAGCTACTAACGTGGGAGGAGATTCCGGCTGATGTGCCGCAGCTGACTGAACTTCTTGGTTCGCTTAAGATGTGAGGACACTACAGACGGCAACATATAGAGTCGAAATGATATTAGACTTGTTCACCAGATCATCACATACCCTCACCGCCTTTCCAAGTTACCTCAATACTGCAATCTCCAGTCGAGTGTTCGACAGTTCCTTTCAGACAGCGGAAGAGAAGACACCCGACTTGCCCGACTTATCGATGGGAAAGGAGTGCAAAGGCCCAGGTCACCAAGGCTAGCACAGCTGTTACATAATTACTACATGACGACTGGCAAAATTGAACAAGTATGACAATTAAAATCTATCAAATATTACAAATGAACTCCCGCTATCACATGAGAGCAAACAAAGCAGCAGCCCCGACACCAGCCGATACAAACCAGCTTGGACTAAGCCTGGCTCCAGCTGCGTTGTCTGCCGCTTCCGCGGTCGCATTTCCTCCAATGATGTACTCGGGCTCGTAGCTCTTGACAGCAGTGTTATTAGACTTTCCATCCCAGCAGTAGCGATCGAAGCAGGTCTTGCATGCATCGGGAACACTCTCATTCGCCTTCCACCAGCTTCTGCTCATGACGGCACACGCCACGCAAGTAGGCCACTCCTTATCAATGGTAGCGTTACCCTGAGTAGCTCCATTGAGAGCATTAAGAATGATGTTGTCGCGCTCGGTAGTGGTATACGACATGTCGAAGGTAGAGACGTTGCTGTGATAGGTGTAGGGAGCGTTGGGAATGTAGAAGATCAGCGGAGGGGGAACTTCACCGTCTGAAAGAGTGAAGTTGTTCGCGTCACAGCCAAAGAGCGTAGGGCGCTGATTCAACTTCTCATTAATAAAGGTCTCAGCTGATGGGACCGAGGGAAATTGTGTGCCGTTGCCAATACTGGAACCAACACGGTCATATGTAGCACGAAGAGCAGTGCCGTTGGGCCAGTTGTTGTCCGTATCAGCAGACGAATCAATGGCAAAAATGATGTCAACGCCACGAACGGGCTGGATCAATGGGTGAAGAGGGATGTTCTGCAGATCCTCTCCGCCATCGACAAGAGTCAATTGGCGGTTCTTGGAATTGACGCTCTTGTCGGTAGGGTTCCATCCGAAGAAGGGGTTGGGTGCATATTGGGCGATATCCTCATCATCCTGATCCAAGCCAACCAAGACGCCTTCAATGGCTTTGACAACAATGTCGGGGATATCATTCTCCTCGCCGACCTTGGTGATATTGTTGAGAAGGAACTGGTTGAATAGTGAAGAGGATGTTCCCATGACAAAGCCGATCTGATCAAAGCCGCGGACGCATTCACCCTTGGAGCTGATGCTGCCGTTGGTGAAGTTGGAAGCGAGATACTCGGTAGGTACGAAGCCAAAGGTTGTAGGATCCCATGTACCGAACTCGTATGGGTTGAACTCATATACAGTGGCGTTCAGGGAGATGACGCGCTCGCCCGGAGCACGACCATCAGCAACGAGGATGGGGAAGGGCGTGTCTGCGTCCTTGAAGTTGGAGGTATCGGCAATGGAAGAGAAAGTGTACGACGGTCCACCCTCTGGGGCATTGACGAGCTGATACGACAAAGCGCGGCCCCACCAATCAGTGAGAGTAGTATTCCAGCCCTTGTCCTTGTCGTCAACGGCATCTTTCATCTCATCCCAGTACTCCGCAGTGTTGAGAAGACTGATTCTAGAGCTCTTGGGGCCCTTGAAGATGGAGCGGTCAAAGCGCCAGACTTTGTCACCAGACTGTAAATCTGGCACTGTTGAGAAGTTGTTGGCGAAAATAGATCCAACGAGCCAGCCACCGCCAGAAAGACCAGCTAGATATGTTGCCGACTGGAGAAGGCCGCTGATCGGGCCAGTCTTGTTGTTGCGTGAATCAGCAGCTGAGAGAAATCCTGCACCGTTCATCAAAGCGCGATAACCACCGCCGGACGCGGCGATGGCGATGTTGGGTAGACCAGTCGCATTGTTTTTATGCTTCTCAACGAAGCTGTCGGCATCGAAGCCAGAAATGTTGGCTCGCGACAAGAATGTCTTTAGGTCATCGATTGTGTTGTTTCTGCGACGACGAACCCAGGCCTCTTCCTCGCTAGACAGTCCATCGGCAAGACGAGCTTTTGGACGCGTTGAAGGGCAATCAACTACTTTCGGAGCATATCCGCCACTCGGAGAATTTGGTAGGGCTCGGATCTCGACTGAATTGACCCTGGGGATCAAAGCCGTGTCTTCCGGAGCGGCAATGGCTGTGCTGAGCCAGAGCGTCAAGGCCACGAAGCCGAGCATCCTGGCTATCCAAAACAAAAACAGCTGTCGAAGAAATAAAGATGAAACTTGAAGTGACAAAAGAAGTTGGGAACGCAGAGTTGAGGATTACAAAGTGCGAGGCCAGATAAATAAGCTGAGTAGGCCCTTCGGCCAAGGGGCGCAATTTACGGAGTAACCAACGGGTATGATCTCACTGGGTCTAAGCACATGCTAGAGTTTTACGGTGATTAATGGCTTTGACTGGTTGCAGGGAGTGACGCGGCTTAAGTGGCTAGTTCGTTCCGTGGGCAGCGAGGATAAAAAGGTTGAGATCCACCGGCGGCTTCTTCGGCCGAGAGAGTTTCGGTTTTTTTGGACCCCATTGTGGAGGCTGTGTCTCAGCTCGGAACATTCGGCACAAGCTAAGCCACAGAGAGAAATGACGTTGCGATGCCAGCTCATCCAGAGAGGGGAGAACGAAAGACAATGGCCACAGGGCTGATGGAGACAGGGAAGAGGTGAGGGGGCTGTCATTTGCTTCTGAGCAGGACCGAGAAATGGGAGATGGAGATTGGTTACATGGAGATCTTCTCCGAATGATGATCTGTTGAAGGAGAATGGGACTTTGGTCCCCCCCGCATCAAAGTGGAGAGGGGATTCCCAGACGCGGATATAAACGATACGTGAATACGCGGGAAACAACATGATAGGCTCCGACATTGGAGACGATGACAGTGGGTCATTCGTACCCAATTCAGCTGATCTTACCCTACAAACACGGAAATTCCCATCTTTAACAAGCTCGCGAACGTTGGAGCATGCAGAATAAGGCTGACATAATATGGCGACAGCTGACGGTGTCAATTGAGCAGAAAGAAAAACTAAATATATAAGCAAGAAATTCGAATAGCACGATAGAAAGGCAAAGGGAACTTTCCGGTTGCGGCCGGTCCCTTCTTTGAGCAAGCTCAGTCTTCCGTCCGTTGGTGCGCCTTTCCAAAATTGGACGGGAAATTCTATTAAAGTCAGAATTGAAGGAGTCAGGTTAAGTTCAAGCAACTTGCTAAGCAAAACTGTTCAGGAGCGTGTTGGCATTTACATATTGAAATGGCGCTTAATAACACATCTCGGCAATAAAACGAATATTTAGGAGGCATTGCATTAAGTTTTGCCCTTATCTAAATAGAGAACATTATTTATTAATCATTGAGATTGACTATAGTACCCTGGCAAATATTGAAGATGTATTAATAATGATCTAAGTACTATTGCCTGAGATCTTTAAACTTAATCCCTTTTTTAAAATAACTGCTGTCGTAAAAAAGAGGAAGCTATAATTTGGATTGGCATTTGATGTATAACCCTTCGTGTTTACTAATACTAAGGGAAATCCAAATGTCTTATAGCTTTATTAACAACTCATTATACTGATGTAAGACTGCAGCTTATTATTAAGGGACTAAAAAATAAAAGTTTCAGATTAGGACTAAAAGGGCGGGATAACAGCAGCGAAGTAGGACCCTTAGACAAGCAAAAAAGGGAGCAGGGCATCGCGGGGGTCTCACCATAGAGCGGCACGGCTCTACATCGGCCTCAATATAATCGATATTCAAGCGCCACAGGACAGATTCACATATCTTTTTGTTCTTCAACCCAACTACAAATACTCTCTAGATCCAAGCACAATAGTTCCTCTAATTCCCATCTTCATCAATCTTCAGCATTATCAAACCTATCAAAATACTAAATCTGTCGACTCACAACATTAAAAATGAAGGCCTCAGTTATTCTCTCGTCTCTATATCCTGCGATTGCGGCTGCCTTGTCAGCTATATGCGAAAAGGATGCAGGACCATGCATCATGGCCAACGATTGCTGCGAAGGCTATACTTGCAAAGCGGTACCCGGAGCAGGCTCTAGATGCGTCGTCGACCAGGCGTGCGTTGCAACAGGAATGCTCTGCCATGTCCAGACCGCGAAGTGCTGTGGCGATTTTGCCTGCACTAGAATTCTTGGACAAGTGGGAGTTTGCGTAAGTTATCAAAACCCCTTTATTAAGATGTTGAGGTACTGACTTGATGTAGATGAAACCCATAGACATCAAGCCAACTTTAGCCTGATCTTGAACCGAAGTGGTTTAGATTGTTAGACCATTATCTCTAGAAGTTCTGTATGGAGTTTGTATCTCGTAGGATGGATGGAGTGAATCCTTGGAATCGATCAGCTGCTGGTGGCTTTCTGTGCAAGATGAATTAAGCTATTACTCTGGAAAAAGCCCTTCTCGAGCTTTTAGCTTGTTTTCACAGCTTGTTCATGCATCTGTAATTGCCATCTGACGTTCTATGGTAGTCTGTGAGTTAATGGGTGCAATCTTTGGGCTAGGATTACTGTGTCTAGGAAGTGATTTATTGCTGGAAGCGTTGGATCTGTTATTGCTTCAAAGTCATAGACCATTATATTCATGCGTAAAGTTTTGCAATTTTATTCTTCTGGCTTTCCTGGCTGGAAGCCTTACTGGTCTAAGATTGAATAGCTAGACCTTTCAGCCAACCACAGCAACAACCCCCTTTCCTTTTGGTCATCGTATTGACAAGACTGACCAAGTATACCCATACCTCATCCTGACTTGATTCACTATTATTCATCTTTGCAAAGCCAGAATCTCATAAACTCAGCTTTCAGCTTCACCAAAAACTGATGTCACAGTAGAGACATACTGAGAGTTCGCCCACTATTACAGCCGTGGTGGGGGAGTTATGCTCAAGACCATGTGTTCTCATGAGAGATCGAGCAGGTCACATTAGCCATTGGTGCGGAAGGAGGGTTTGCACATTAGTTTGCAGTGAGGGTCAACGACACAGAAAGGGCCCCTCTCACCGCCCCGGGGTCAACGTATGTTATCACCTGTACTGTAGAAGCGCGCGACGTCTTTGAGTAACTTGAAGTCCCCTCCAGCTTCGAAGCGCTGATACGAAGCAGAACCCTTATATGCGTTAACTGGAGGCATCAGGCAATAAATGCAGAGGACCACCCATCATCATAGGCACCATTGCGACGGCTGCGTCGGCAAACTGGCAGCCCTTGTTCAAGAAAACACAGGTTCTGGATGATGGGCCCTTGCTCGAGAAGCTTTAAACACTGCAAATAGCCCACGGTAAGCGGTTTACCATAGTCAACTGATGCTATGGAGGGCTTTCTTGGTCTGGTCTGGTAGCCGCAATGGTGACACCGCGGATGAACTCCACCACGACCTATGCGATGAGTAGTACCGCTGTTGTGGAGGCAACAAGGGTTGCCGACGGGCAACGTTTGCCTTATGCTTCAAAATGCCCCCATTTTTGCTTGTCATTGTGCTCTGAAGCATGATTTGTAGTGCATGGCGGACGCAGGGTTCTGAAGTAGACGGGACAGGTTCAGTTCAGAGTGCCTGCTTGCAATTAAACTAACTACGTCGATGTTTGCTTGTAATGTAATAGAGGAAGAAAAATATTAAATTGAATCTTTAATGACATATTCTATAGGCATAAATATTTATCTATATCTAAATCTAAATAAAATGATGAGACTCCTATATAAAAATTCTAGATCCTACAACTCAGCATCAACTTTGATACTATAGCCCTCCTCTGTCTGCTTTACTACAGTAATCTGAACTCCCCAGCCAGGAACCCTATACGTGCTCACTCCACCCTGTGACAACGTGCCGTCGTTCTTATCGTAGACACTACCGTCGCCGCAGCCACCTGATCCTGGGGTAATATCTACAACACGGATGGGGCCGTAGCCTGTCTTGACCGAGGTATCAACTGTGTAGAGAAGGACTCCAGGGGCGCACACGCCTGAGTCAAGACCCTCGGATGTACGGGCCTCTACAACAAGTGCGGAGGTTTGGTCGACGGCGACTACAACCGCTTTGACACCATTGTCAGAAATGTTCAATTCTAGGGGGCTCAGAGTGTGCTGAGTAGTTCCTCGCTCTGAAACACAATCGACAGATTTGTCGTTAATCCAACCCAGGCGCCACTTGTCCCAGGCGAAGAAATCAGGGGCAATACCAGAGAGGTCTCCCATGGCACTCCAGCCACCAACGTAGTAGCCCAGGCCAAGATCCTCGAACGGGTACAAATCGGCCAAGCAGATAGTATGTCCGGTTTCGTGAGCCAATACCCTCCAGCTCTTTGTTCCCCAACCCGTAAATGCGTCGGTTCCAACCGTAACGGTCTTCCGAGCAACATAATCGCCTTGTCTAGTGTTGGCTCGTGAAAGAAAAGTGATGGACCGAGAGATCCCTTTGCCACCAACGCTCTTTACGGGAACAACATAGAGAACATCCGATTCGGGAGGTGGGGGGCGAGTCCCTTCGGCTGTGTAGGCATCGAGGGCATCTTGGATGTATTCTTGATGTTCTGGACCTGTGAGACCTCGCTCCCAGCCATATGATACAGCAGATTTGGGCATGCGGTAGAACTTGGACATATCGGCCGAAATATTCAGGGATAGAGCCCCATAAGAGGCTTGGCTGTACCATTCGGTTGTTTGGGGGACTATAGCGTCGTAGAGTGACTCGGGGGTCTCGTCTTGAGCAGGTTCGGCATCGGAAAAGTCAACAAAGATTACGAAGCCTTGGAGAGTTCCGGTACTTGGGGCACAGTCCCCATTGTAGTCAAAGCCGACACTCATCTCCACGGTGTTGTTGGCAGCCAACTTGCAAGCGGCCTTTGATTTAGGGGGCGTTGGCTTGCAAGCAGCAGCGCTGGCTACTACAGGCCAAAGAAGAGAAAGAAAGAGAAAGTTCATGATGATGGACCTTGATTAGAAGCAGAATGAGATGTGGTGAGTGATGGGAGAGCAATTCTTTAACGTACATTGGGACAGAATTTATGCTTTACTTTCTGCCAACTCGCGAGGCCCATCGTACACAGCCGGCTTGATATTTTACCAGCATTGCCAATGACTCGAGATTGGCCGACTGCAAAGTGCCAATTGAATTGCCAACGCGTTTCAGCTTCGGTAGCCACTGTCAGCGTACTTGGGTGCTCACGTCAGCGGGTCAGTCGCTTTCCCCGATGTCGACGTCTCTGACTGGTCAGTATGGGCCTCGCACAGGGTCTAGACTCGCAGTCATTAATTTTCAGGATAGCAAAATTGCGCTTCCACGCATCTCTTTAGAGTTATTCAAGCATATCCACTTCAGCTCAAGTCTCCTTATGACGCTTAGTGAAGCTCACCGAAGCTCTACAGTGCCCTTATCGATGTCAGCCTTCGGTTAGATGGCGTGATTTCACTTGGGGTGATTGGTCCGCAACTGAAGGTTTCTGTCACACTATTATGAAATGAGCAGTAAGTAGCTACTGATGATTGATGTCAGAACTACCAAAAGGCTGAAAATGACATCAGCCGCCATAGCTTTGCCGCCTTGAGGAAACGGCGATGAGGGGATTGTCGAGGATGCCTCCGGAACCATGAGCCTGCAGCCCTTCTCAGTGATGGTGTAAGAGAGGGATTATACCGAATGCCAATTGGCTATAGAAGCCAGAACTTCAATGATAAAAGGCTATAGTATCCTGTCGTTATGTCTATTATAATTACCATCATCGACACTTCAACACCAAACATATCTCTCAAACAACCCATCAATCTTTGGTTCTTTTAACCTTACTTAATCCCTGCCTCAACCTCGAGCTTCCTCAACACCACCCCTAAACTATCTACAATGCGCTGCAACTATGTTCTCGGCTTTGTCGCCACAGTTCTGGCACACCCTACCGTGAAGCCTGCTGATACTGGCAAGCGGGTTTCTGCTTCGTACGAAGGAAAGGGATCCAATTTTGACGACGAGCAATGGGTCCCCAAGGAATATGAAAAGAGGAGAGATGATGGGTCCTGGCGTCCCGGGAAGTATGAAGGCAAGGGTACTGGCCACGATGATGGCAAGTGGACACCTACCAAGTACCCCGGCGGGAAGTCCAAGACCAGGAGGGACAAGTTTGATGTGGTTGATGACTCCCGGGAACCTACAGAGTACGAGAGCAAGGGTACCAGCTTTGAAGATGCCAAGTTGATGTCAGAGAAATATGGTAAGCGCAGCGATGACGGCAGCTGGCGCCCTGGCAAGTATGAGGGAGACTGCACTGGTTATGATGATGGAAAGTGGAACCCAGAGAAGCAAGATTAGAAGACTACCTACTGAGGAGAATAACGATTGCAAGTGGGCACATGGAAAGTATAAGGACAAGAGGACTGGCGTTATTAATTGGAAGTAAAAGGGCAGCTATATAGTTTTACATTTAATAATAAATTCATATTAATTTATAGATCTATAGTAGTCTTAAGTATAAACTTAATATTATAGCTATATTAATTAATCTTTAAATTAAAACTAAATAATTCTTATATCTATTTTATAAATAGTTTATAGTAAATGTATTTACTGAAATATAAAATTATATAGATCTATATTTAAGAATTGCTTATAATAACTACTGAACTTTAGTGAAAAGACTTCCTATTGCTATAGCTTCTTCACTCGATAAACCTCTTTTGCCATTCTTTTTACTTGTAATCCCAAATGTTGCGCCATAGGCCATATCTCAGCGTACTTGACCAGGGCCCCAATATTCTGACCCATATTTTGACGAAGATCCTCGTCATCTTGGGCCACAAAGGCTAGTGACCATCTGCTGAGGTGGATTGTAGACGAGAGTGTCACCATGTAAGTAAAGAAATGAGTATGTTTAAGAAGGGGAACACGATAGCTGATCAACTTGCTAAGCTCCCTCGCAGCTCTAATTGTATGTTTGGTATGCGAATTGAAGGCATCGCTGGACAAAGCTGGCGTGTTGGTAACGGAGGGCTTGATATAATAAGTCAACGATGGATCCAGTTGTGAGTGAGGCTGGTGTAAGAGAATTGAAATGGCCTGCCACATCATAATGGCCTGGAACATCATCTCATCTAAATCGCAATTGCAATAAGCGTCGTATTTTGAAGGAGGTAAGCGGAGCATCCAGTTAGCGAGGAGCCTGGCGACATGATCGACCTCTGATGGCATTGCTTGAAGAGCACCCAAGATACAGGCACATTGGATCCGATAGGCGTACGAAGAAAGCGGCCTTGTATCAAACAGTCCCAAAGTTTCCGTATCGCATGGGTGAATAGGGACAGGTATTTGCTAGATCTTGTAAACATACAGTGGACACCAGGCTTCATAACGAAACTTACTCCAGTGAAATATTGAGACTCTTCACAAGGCAGACCGACATCCGTAGGTAAATCATACAGGACAAATGTGTTGGTCTGATGTACGCCCGACATAAGGGCATCCACAACGTAAAGCTCCCACCATGTTCTTCGCCAGCTCTCCTCAAGTATCGGAATTCCTTGTCCGTTGGTGACAGCAAACGGATCAGTGTTTAATTTAATCTGAATCGAGATATCCCGGGCATCTGCCATGAGCTGTCTGGCCCTTTTTTCTTGACGATTGCCGTCAAGTCCAATGACGACAAGCAACATCGCCTGCACTAGGAGGCCGTTTCTGAGAGGTGCACTGTCTATTTGGTGGGATGCATCTGTGAGGAGGCTGTCAGAGCTTTCTCGGTCGATGAATAAAGAACCAATCCAACGTATCGCTGCAAGGAGGGGCTCTAGGGAGATCTTCTCTGCTAAGATCAGAAGAAGCTGCTTTGGCGGTATAAAGGGATGAGCGGCGTAGAAGTTCTCATGAAACGCGTCGATGTAATGTTCTCTTAGAGGGAGTGCCCGGGGTACTTGGTTGCCAGTGCCACCAAATAGATTTTGAGGAGAAAAGCCAGGCAAAGTAGTTGACGCAATAGTTTGAGAGCACGCAGCAATTTGGAAGCTTGGGTCAATGCTCGAGTGATTTGTGACATCGCCAAAAAAGATTGTAGGATCAAACGCAGAAGGGAAATTCATGACAGTTACCGGGGGTGTAGGACCGCCTAGCGTGACTGCGAAGTCATCAGAAGGTACAAGAGCCCCCACTGCTGTACTCTGGCTAGGGGCCTGAGAAGCTGTGCGTTTTCGGCCGTTATGTCCGCGACGGGAGGCTGCATAGACGCAATCAATTTCAGCCGTACTACAGCGGGAACAAGGCCGTTGTCCATCGCATTTAAGGTGCCTTCTACGCTGCCCGCAAGACCAATGTTAGCATGTAGTTCTTTTTGAGTATCATCGTCAAGACGATACCATGGAAACATTAGGTGTGTGAGGCGGTGTAGGGGCGGCATGCGGAACTCACGCAAGCAAGACACGCAGCTGGAACCAAAGGGAGGCTACGTCGAGTATTAGCAGCCACCTGATTCTCCATTGATGGCAACGTAGTAGGCACAAAGCTCACAGTGCCAGCAGGCAACGGAAGCTTGCTTCACAGCGGCCTGGGCCGTGAACTAGCTTAATTGGCTCAAGGAGACGGCGGGAAGCCAGTGGGTTCACTTTAACCAGGCGGAGCGGTTATATCAATGCCGTGCAATATTCATATTACGCGACTTTTTCTTATTCATAAGTGAGGAAGGTAAAAGTAAGCTGCAATCATCATTTCATAGGGATATTAGAAGACGTTAAGAAATTTACTGATTACTGCGCCTCCGCCTTTTTATCTTTCAGCTTTCAGCCTTAAACCGTTAATGATTATTAGCTAAGACCTAGCACGGAATTTCCCGCATTTTCACGGTAACTTAGCACTATTCCTAAACCAGAACTCAATCTCACAGAAATTCATTCTTAAGAGATTATTCGTCGCGTTATCGCTATCCAGGTTTCTATGCCAACGGCGTGGTTGATAAGAGATTCAGCAGCTGACATCAACAAACTGGCCAATACCGCCAACTAAAGACGACTCCACATCAAAGGTCTGGTGTCGATATAAGGTATGGTCTTGAAGGGAATGTCATCTTCTGGAATGGAAGTGTCTGGCGTGTTGTCAATCTCGATATCGACGTAGTCGCTTTTAAAAACAGAAGCGAGGACTGCTACAGTCGCGGCAGCGGTATTTCCATTAGTCTGACCTCTGACTCAGTCTTACGTGGAACGACAGCTCTGGGAAGAGGGGCTTCTTGGGTACGGCAGTTCGTGCAGACATTTACGGCCATGAGAGGATATCCAACGAGCTTTTCTGTAGATTTATACTCGCCAATGGAATCAAGAGAGAAGAGAATTCATCTTCAATGCACCTAAAATAGTAACAGTGCCCGCACTTGGAATGCAGTGCTGGACAATCTGAATGAAACCCATATCTTGTGAGCGCCTCTCGGAACCCTCTGTCCATTCGGCAAAGAGAACAACACATTAATAACATCGGAGCTTCATATCTGACTACTTACGTCTGCAGTATTCGATGTAGCACTTGACTTGCATAGGTGCATCAAGCTGATACTCGTCACCGTAGACGGCCTCGCTTCCAGCGGCAGCCAAGTAAGGTTTGATAAACAATTCGGTGCTGACCTCCCAGATAAAGTAGCAAGTTAGTTTGCTTGCAAAACACGCTTCGATTTTAATAACGGCAGCAGAAAGGGAGTATTAATGGTCTGATGTTAGAGTCTGCTGACAAACACTTACAGTGAACCATTCCCGTGTCGGCAGAGTTGTTGTGTCGGGAAGGGTAAGTCTACCGAACAGCTAGCCACAGTAGTTGCAGATATCCATCCACGATAATTGGAATCCATGTCATCCAAGCCTTAAAGCACCAATAGTAGAGCACTCGCATACGCGAGGTGCTACTGTTGAGTGGATTACTGTCGTGGCTTCATGAGACGTGTGATATCTGGTTCTATCGTACTCAGTTAACATTAATAGTTCGACTGCCAAGGCAAGCCAGAACCAATTCTTGCGCGGCGTGGCCTCATACGGATTAGGGCTGGCCGAGACATGCATAGGCCCAGACCACTAGTTCAATAGCGCCCTGATTACTTGTGGCTAGCTGTGCAGCTCAGCTAGCCTCCTTGTTCCAAGAGGGGACATGACTTCTAAAGGCGGCGAAGTCAAGTGAGATTACGGTCAGCGGTTGGCCTATCACAAAATATGAAGTTGTGCGTTGAACTGGCCCACAGCGTCTTCATTGGTGGCGAATGCATGAAAGCAAGCCCATAGACATGCGTGAGTGCTCATTAGCGTATTTCGATCCCCAATAGCTCGGGAATTCAAGACGCTATTGATCAGCGCTCTTCTGGATCAGTGGCAATTACAGGCTACCACGAATCTAGAGCTTCTTTTCAGCTCCGCCTGCGAGACACGATATTGTAACGAGAGCTAGGACTAGTTCTCAATCATAGGCAATTTGAGTATTTAGAGTACAGCACCCTCCACGAATTCCATTATTTTCATCACTACTACCGGCCTCTCAATCACCACCAGCTTATCATAATCTCTTACCTTCAAGAACATCAACCTGACTTTGCAAATCATGTCTTTCCCTACCAAAGGAGATGTTCTCTCTGTGCCCGCCTACACCGCAGAGGCTGAGCAGAACGCTGTAGAGATCTCATGGTCCCAGCAATTCCGCACGCGCACCGCTCGTTACTACATCGTCAACGCCCAGAACCAATCCAAGGGCAATGCGAATGTTTTGATGTACATTCAAGAACGTTACTACAAGGATCCCAACAGCAATGAATACATTGGAAAGCTTCCTGGCGCTCGACAGGAGGGCAGTAAGTAACCAAAGATCACTAGCCGAATAATCACTAATATCTACACCAGACTCTTGGATCGTGAGCATCAGCGATCGCTTCCAGTATGGTGAGAAGAACAGGAATGGAGATGGCCGCTGGGTTGCTCTCCACGACAAGGACAACAAGCCCTACCAGGTATGTGTACCATGGATAATCTTTGCATGACTCCTGCTAACTTTCAAAGCACCGGTTTATGATTGTCACTATTCAAGCCCAGCTCTCAGAGCAAGCGAAGAACTTGGCTAGATCTTTTGGTGCTGGGGAGATTGCTGAGCAGGTCCAGAAGCTTGGTGGCTCCTACATGGGTGACTACCTTCGCACCTTCTAATATCCCGGTGCTGAAGGGTAACAAGTCTCAAACTCATGAGAGGCTTAGTTTTCTCTTGTATAGCTCAATCTTGTTAATCCGAATCCATGTTCAACTCTTTTTATACAATATGCAGTTCACTTCATGCCCTCTACTTCGGCGATTTATACGTATCTCGGAAATCGGGCTTTAGCAATGAGCAGAGAATCGCTACAATTGAGATGGCCAATGTTTAAACGTTGAAAGCTACGTAATTATCTCATCCGATATATGCATCTATGAGAAGGGCACAAAAAGATAACTCTGATCGCTTCGATTGTGTTATTGCATGATGGTCTGCTGTTAAACTTTAGTGGGCGAGATAGACTTTAAGCCCTGAAAACCTTGCAAATATTGCTTAAAGAGTCATAAGAATCTAAAGCTTATTCGCTCAACAAACTCAAATACATCTCATGAACAAACATAGTGTCATGGTCAGATGCAAACTCCACGTGAAGTTGCCGGCTGGCTTCCGTGCATTTATACCAACCAAAAGGCATGAAGTGACCCTCTCAACTTCAATTAGAAATCCGTACATTTTCCTGGTGAGTGCTGGAAGAGTGATAGAAAACTCTACTTAATATTTAAGTTTATCATGTATGATGACTGTACGGAATACCCCCTGACTTATCAGAGAGTCAACTTACGTGACTTTCCCTAACTTAAATCCTACGAACATAAAATCGCCATTTTCCCCGGGCGCACTGTTTCTCTGATTCACACATTCGCAGACATTTTTGTCTTCTCTGCTGATTTAAGCTCTCAGCCACAAGTCTCAACGACGACTCGTACCATGCTGCCCCTCATCCTCACTACAACCAACTCCATCTTGCGGCAGACCTCCTGCAAAATGGAGGAACCGCGTGTCATTTCGGGTTTCAAACGGGTCGCATGGCCTGAACTTCGTCGACTGCCTCTCAAAATCTCATCGGATCGCCTGCCCGCGGGCATCAAGCAAGTGGGTCTCGACATTGAACGAGAAGCTAACAGAATCATCAAGAAGCACGGTCTACAATTTGAAGATGAGGAAGATCGCTGTGATCCTGAAATGGAAATGCGAGGAGTGCCCGGGAAATCTGGCACCAGTCTACCAACCATTCTCATATTGGCACCATGGTCAACTGAGAAGCAACGTGATTGGGAGAGAGCTGCCCAGGAAATGGCCATGTTTTTGGCTGATCTGTCAAGGGTCTGCTCATTCGGCGAAAGCGAGATTCATGTGGAAATAATGGCCCCCGAACTAGTGCAGCCAACACACTACACCAATATCGACGACCCTGTCTATCAAAGCGCTTGGGAATGCTTGAGCAGTACTATTTTCAGCCGCCTACAGTCGCTCAGAGCAACTCAAGGCCACGTCACATGCCTCTCTCTCCAGAAATACGGGACGGACGATTGTGTTCAAGACAACCCACCTACAGTGTATATTTCGGTTGATCATGACTCTGATGAAACCCAATGGCCTGAAGTAGTCACAGAGGTCAAGAGAACTCTTGATGCGGCCGAATGGGACGATGTCCAAGTCCATATTGAGCATAACCAGGGCATGGTTGGCTACTTTGATAACCTCACTAACCCCACAAGAGAACAAAGGCATCGTGCCTACAGGCTGAAGAAACGCATGGAAGGCGATTATTATTCAACGGTTCACATTGGAGACGATTTCGGCGCTGCGTGTGATATCAAGCGGACCGATGGGAAGCAACTGAGTCCGACAAATGGCACTATTGGCTGTTTCGTGCAGCTAAGAACTTCTGGCCGTGAGCCCACTTGGCGGACCTTCATCCTTACATCTTATCAAGCGGTCAGACCTGCCTTTGATGGCTTCACCGTGACGCCGGATGGTGCAGACTCTAGCGTTGCACCTCCAACAGTCAACAGCGACCTCTGGACGGTCGATTCAGTTGGGTATACACCAGACTCGTCAGCCAAGCCTACAACCTTTGAAAGCCCCTCTCGATCAAAACATCATTTCAACATTTTCCACATTGACGAAGAGATAGCTTGTTATGCGAAAGATATCAATTATTTGGAGAAAACGGATTGGCCTAAAAAGGAAAAACAACTCCAAGAGTTTAGGCAGACGATAGCGGCTTTGAGAGATGAAAGGAAACAGAAGACCGAGTTCTTCGAGGCTAACAAGAAGGTTCTCGGAAGCTTGTATGCCGCATCAGGATTCAGACGAAGGGTTGTAGGCAGAAGAATGGACTGGGCGCTGATCGAGCTCGATCGGCCATGGCATGATCGTCTCCCGGAATACGAAGACTGGAAGCCTTCTTTTTGGAGACCATCAGCGATGCCTTTTATGACCTTTGGGATGCAACTTGAAGAGCAAACTCGGTCCATCGAAGCATTGAGTGACCTTGAGTGGTCAAACGACACATTCGACGTCTACAAGATCGGAGCAAGCAGTGGGCCGAAGGCTGGATCCCTTCTTTGCACAAACAACCTTGTCACTATAAGAGACGACCAATATATGAATCCTTTGCCAACAGAAGAGATGGCTTTCGAAACAAACCGCTATGATTACCCGCATGAGCGTGGATTCTGTGCGCCTGGGGATTCAGGGTCTGTTGTCTTTGATGGAAGGGCAGGTATTGTTGGTCTTATGATTGGGGGACATAAAAATAATAACTCAGACAACCACGGATATGGTTATGTAACTCCTATTGAGTACGTTTTCAAGGATATCAAGGACCTTTTAAAGGGACATGTTGTCGATATTCGGATAGCAAAGCCCTAAAGGCTATCTATCTCCTTTCTATTAGTCGCATATCGTAAAAAAGAATACCATTTTAATCATTCTATCGAAATTTAAGTTACTCTGCCATGAATGCGCCAAGTCAATGCCACGGCTTTGTATATATTCACTAAGGTTAAAGGCTTCTGAAAGGATTGGGCATTTCTAAAATCCTATTGTGAGTTTTCCAGGAACTCGATCACTGCAGCACGAGCCCTGATTGACTCCGGGATCACCGGATCCCAATTGAAGCCATGCCACATTCCCTCAGAGACGAGGAGCTCAACCTTCACACCAGCCTCCCTCAGTTTCCAATAGAAACGTACCCCATGGCTAAGTGCAAAATCCCGCGTCCCGACAGTGATGACCGTTGGTGGGAAAGAGTTATCATAGTCAGCGTAAATAGGCGAGTAAAGAGGGTCCTTCACATCAATTCCATCGGGAGCATAGTTCTGGGATACCATGCCAGTGAGAAGACTAACAGGCATGATATCGCGTCCTAAAGAGTTGAACACCATCGAATCACCAGCTCCACTCAGGTCGAGGGCAGGCGTGCAGAGGTACATCCCAGCTGTTGGCATCGGAAGACCCTTTTGTCTCGCGACAAGAAGCATGGAGACGAGTATCTGTGCACCCGAAGAGCATCCCATTGCGTGGATGTCGGAGGGATCAATAGGAGTGCCGCCTGGAGGACCGTTTTGGAGGAGCTCGCGGTATACAGCAAGGCATTGATCCCGAGCTTCAGGATACTTGGCCTCAGGAGATTTGGTGTAATCAACTGAGTAGACACGAACACCAAGTTCAACCGCCATAGTAAGTGCAGCTCTATCTCTGGGACTGCCCATAATAAACGCTCCGCCAAAGACATTGAAGAGGATTTTCTTCTGTTTCTCGGGCTTGATGACTGGCGGTTCAATTATGACAGCCGAGACTCCAGCGATGATAATCTCAGTGACGCGGATCTTGTGCTTCTCAATAGGTTGAGCATCACCAGGAGCTGTCTTCTCTGTAAAGCCCTGTCGCAGACCTGGGACGCGACATGGTGATGTTATGAAGGATGAGATGGTATTGGCCAGAGGAGGATGGCGGACCTTGGTGAGAAATTCGACTGCTTCAGGGCTTAGAGTCGCCTTTTGACCTTCAGTGAGTGATACCATTGTGATGAAAATAGATTTTAGATGGAATGATAAAGGAAGAGTCTTGTGTATGCTGAAGCATAACATACTTTGGCTGGGCTCTCATGACCTTATATTCTTCACAGTCAGTCGCCCAGGTCTCCAATTCCCTGCTCGCTCGTTTCTCATTTGTTAAACATACAACTGTAGCTCGTACCGTTCCGCCATCTCCGCCATCCGCGTCGTCACCGTCACAGAATTGCCGTCAGCAGTGAGTTCGTTGTCGCTGGGAAGCTGAAAGCCGAGTCTAAAGTTCGTGGCTTAGAGCCATATTGGGCTTAGTTCGGATCATGCAGCCTGAACCGGATTAGCTTTACTCGTAGCTTGGAGCCATTCTCGGTTTAGCGGGCAACGTCTTGGATCCCTGCAGTCAGTCAGCTTGTAAACGGACAGTGCATCATGAATTCATTACTATGAGACCGGAGGTTATATAAGATTGATATGGAAGTCGTCCAAAACTTTCAAACAAGAAGTAAAACTCACCGTCTAATTTAGCTATCAGCACATCACCCTCACTTCCTCATCATGTCCTCTTCCCAGCACGGCTACGTCAAAGACCTTCTCATTCAACCCCACGCAACACGCATGGGTTATACCAGACTTGGTCGCTCTGGCTTGAAGATTTCCAAGATCATTCTGGGAGCCATGTTTTATGGAAGCAAAGATTGGCTTAAGTGGGTTCTTGAGGAAGACGAAGCCCTGCCCCTTCTCGAACACGCCTTCAAAGCTGGCATTAACACTTGGGATACTGTAAGTCAGCCCCCTGTACTTGGCATTGTGACTCGAGTACTAACTAGCGGCATTCACCGCTCAGGCTGATCTTTATTCAAACGGCGTCTCTGAAGAAATCATCACCAAAGCGCTGGCCGAGTACAACATTCCTCGAGAGCGCGTCGTCATCATGACCAAATGCCGTTTCGCCACCAGCGCCCCAGGCGAGCCTCAGCTCTCTGTCTTTGCGGCCTCCATCAATGATGGGGAGATGGTAAACAGAGCTGGACTGTCGCGCAAACATATCTTCGACGCAGTACAAGCTAGTGTCAAGAGGTTGGGTACTTACATTGACGTTCTGCAGATCCAGCGTATGGATCCAGATGTCCCACGGGAGGAGATCATGAAGGCACTCAACGACGTGGTCGAATTGGGTTTGGCACGATATATCGGAGCTAGCTCTGTAAGTCAAGCTTGCTCATTCCCACTTGATGCATGATGGCTAATATGTGCCGCCAAAGATGCCAGCATGGGAATTCCAAGCGCTGCAAAATGTGGCAGAGAAAAATGGCTGGCACAAGTTTATTTCGATGCAAAACTATTACAACCTTCTTTACCGAGAGGAAGAGCGAGAAATGATGCCATACTGCGAGGACGCAGGAGTTGGATGTATACCTGTAAGTCCAGTTCTCCAGTTCTAACCACGTAGTCTTGCTCATGTAGAATCTAGTGGTCCCCCAACGCTCGTGGTGTCCTCGCTCGTCCCTGGAATGGCATTGATGAAAAGACTTCATTGCGAACACAGCATGACCAAACACTGAGTCGACTATACGACCGAGAGAACGAAGCAGACAAGGCAACTGTCGACATAGTGGAAGAAGTGGCTAAGGCGAGAGGACTTCCCATGGCGGTAATTGCTACTGCATGGTGCCTACATAAGGGAGTCAATCCGATCATTGGCCTGAATAGTAAGGAGCGTATTGATGAAGCTGTGTTGGCTGCTAACATCATGTTGACGGATGATGAGGTTGCCAAGCTTGAGTCAGCTTACCAGCCAAAGCCTCTTACTGGATACTAGATGGTTATAAAACGCTATTATAATTACAAAGTGATGTATCGATAAACTAAGAATACAGTGGCTGAATCATGGTTGCCTCCATTATTGCATCAAACTTGTCCATCCATTTGCGTGTCCATTGATGATAATGCGTAGGCAATGCCCAGTGAGCGATGGGCAGTGCAAGTCTCATCGTCTGTGTGCCGCAGTATCCGGCGTGTAGACAGTAATCCACAGACATACAAATTGCAGTTGCGAGGTCTTGCATCTCCGAGCTATGTCTATCGAAAGTATCCAAATCCGCAATCGACTGATTGAGAAGTATCAGATATGCATCATATGCAACAATGATAGTAGCTGACATAACATCGTGATATTTGTAGATTGAAGGGAACGGGTAGCCCTCTGATACGGGGGAGACAGCACGAGATTTTCTCAAGTTGTTATCTTGAGATGAATACTCTTGATACCATTGTCTCATGTTTTGCCGAAGCTGCTTTGCCGTTGAAAGGAGGGCGCTTCGTGTCTCATCAGAAGCAGCCTTGTTACAAAGGCTCGTCCTACTTTGTAACTCCGGGATAAGCGCAAAGTAACCGAAGATCCGGTGGTACATGTCAGGTGTTGCTGGCAACAGCGGGAACTCGATCAGACCGTCTGGAATACTTTGCCAACTTTCGGACTCCAAAATGCACGGCTGCCCAGAGGCCAAGGCTTCAGAAATCTAAACGGTGTCAGAATGGTATCGCAGGCCACAGAGGGTAGACTGACAATTGCTCCGCGACATGCAAGAAACATTGAGTACTCGAAGGCAGACTCGTAACACCGCTGAGCACCCCGGAGCTGCATCAGCCGAGTAGCTCCCCCTGCATGTCTTATCCACGCGTGGCTAACGTTAACAAAGGTCTTTAAATTCTGCAGGTTAGCTCAAGAGTCAAACAGCTGATCAAGGATAAGGTCATACCTCGAAATGCCCAAGAAGGACTGTTGCACATAGCACATTCGAACTAAGCTGCTCTTTCGCATCATCAAGAGCCAAAGCTAGACTTCTCACAGCGTTTGAATACGAGATCTCTGCATTCCGCAGTGCGATGGGATCCCCGTATAGCTTTGCGAAGTAAGCCCATGCTACTGATAACGCAGCATGGTCCAGAACTGCACTGCTGCCCAAGCGAGGTGGAAGATGCCATAACCAACTACCGAGAAATGATATTTGCGCTGTGGAGGAGGTAAGCGGGAACATGGCTGACACGAAGGATGAGAGTATTTGGTCGCGCTCTGCTTTGAAACTGCCTGGCTGGCTCAGCCTGCTTGTTTCTCGCTGATGATGAAGCAGATCTCCGCTATGCCGAGCGTCACCTTTAGATGCTTTTTTTGGTGTTGATGGGGTGACACGTCTTGAGCGTCGGACTTTAGGTCCCTCGTCAACAAATTTCATCTCGCGGACATAACCGGGACAAGTCCGCCCGCCTCTTCGGCACTGAGCGCAGCTTGGCCTTTCTTCGTCGCACTGTCGCTACACTTAGAACTCGTGTTGTAAAAAAGGCCACGAGATTTCATACCTTTATGCTTCGCTGGAGACATAGACGGCATCCTTTACTTGTTGGTACACCGACCATTGCGATTGTTGAGAGCGATGTTGGTTTAAATCATGTCAGCTTTCTTATTAGCAACCATTGGGTCTGACAACTGACCTGGAGTATTGGCTCGCTTATCTTATCAGCGTTAGATGCCGATAGCGGCTAGTCATCCGGCTGACATCTCCGATTACTGTATCTTGATCTCTTCCCTTTACAATGCCCTAGGGCTTGCAGCAAGACTTATTGGTTATCATGAAAGCTTCTGGGTAAAAGCTTATATTGAGGGGGAAAATATCGTGTTCTTATTCACCTCCTGTGTTTGCAGCCTAAAGATTAACCTTATAGGCGGCAGTCATCCCCATAGCTCCGATTACAGTAATATGGGTTATATAAAAGCCTGTATTCATTGCTCTATTATTCTTTAGCGGGAAGCGTCCTGTTGACATGAAAGAATGGCAAACAAGCTATGATTTTCTATAATTATAATGTGTCACTGCCCCCAATAACTCTGTGAGCTAAATGGAGCGTTATCGAAATCGCCATCTGTTCCATTATAGCCTGGAGTCCCAGTTTCTGTGTAGTACCTGCGGGAATCATCGTTGACTTTGGTTTGTGGAGATTTTGAACGCTTTTCATCATCCCATCTTGCAGAGTCTGCCTTTAGATCCTCAACCATCCTCTTCAACTTTGATTAGCATCCTTTACATCTTAAATTAAATTAATTACACCTACCATTGTTAGAGTTCTGAAGGACTTGATATAATATCCTTGAACGATTTGGCCTGTAGCTGGATTCTATAAAACAAAAAAAGACCAAACATCAGCTTCTGCTTCAAGTGAATGGAAGGTTGTCAAAGAGATTGATTCTCTCGCTCGAACGTACTTCGAAAAGCCCAGGCCGCACCGTGGCATCGCTACCAAAGTAGCGGCTGATATCCGCTGCGATCACCTCCCGATCAATACCATCGCGTGGTACAAAGTACTCGTTTGCCCTCTTCGAGTCAGTTTGGCTCCCAATTGACCCAGAAGGGGGTTCGGATGGAATTTGTGTGATGGAATTGTTCCGTGGAATAACTTCTGGATGCTGTGGAAGAGCAGGCAGTTCATTCGCCCCTTGAATATCCCTTCCATTATGGTTAGCGGGTAGCTCTCATTAGTATAGTGAACCGACTTGCTCTTTATCAAAGTTCCAATAATCTAGGAACACTCTGGCACATGCTGCAGCAGAAGCAGAAGCAAATTGTTGCCATTCCTTGTTCTTATGGCTATCCGCATAGTCACAAACACCCTTGATAACAATGCAAGGGAATATATCCCATACACCAGCACTCTCCATCTCAAAACCTATAGCATTTTTATCTTTAGTAAGTCGATCCCGCTCTTCCCCAGATTTTATAACAGAATTACCAGATGCAAATATTCCAAAATGAACATCTGGAGGGGGAAATGACTGGTGGCTCCGTGTTGGGCGAGGTCTTGATAGTTGCTTTCGGGTATTGCATTTTAGATCATGGCAGTCCGATACAGTGGCCGCAGCGCATACCGGGTCTGATTTGGACTGACATGCAGCGCAAATAGCACATTTCGATGGCTCATGATGTTTGTGTCGATAATTTTCTGGGAAAAGAATGTCTTTCCAACTTCCTGGGTAGTGCAATGCTGTGTCTGAGCCTTGATGCAACTGGCAGAGAATATGATATATTGCACTTCGGATCCTGCCAGTCTGTCTCGCAGTTGCTAATTTTGATAATAGGCCTCTAATTTCGAGATTGGGCCGGCCAGGGACATCGCTCGCCGTATCCTTCATCTCAAATCCGTCCGGAAATCGACGTCCAAAGTCATAAGACACAATGCCGGTGCTGATAATCACGTCACCGAGATGAATTTGAATGCCGTTGTTCATAGGGGCACCTCCGCAGATGCCGACAACTAAGGCCAATCTGATACTCGTAAAGCTCAATTTACAAAACGCAGCGATAGTGCCGGCTGCTATTGTCCCTATGCCAGGAGGATGGGCCAAGACGACGTGGTGACCGGACATGATACCTATCGAATAGGAATTTGGGTCGCCTCTGGCTTTTCCGATGCGGGGACTGCCATCGTCCTCATCCCAGTGATGATCGAAAAGAGACAGAACTGAATTGGCCTCGAGAGGAAGTGCGCATATGAGAGCTACTTTAAACTCGTCGCGCGATCTGGGTCTTGATGGAATCATGTCGAATGAAGAATCTAAGGTTTAAAATACATAGCAGAAGTCTTACTTCCACCATTATTCTCGTTCCCTAAATGCTTACGAGGTAATGTGTCTTGAGCTTATTGGACGACTTCTATCCAATAAGGCATGCTTTTTCAAGCCTCAACGTGACTTGACTTCGCAGCCTGGTTTTGCTTATATGCACGCTTCAGCCGTAAAACCAGGGTGTGTCGGGTTCGCCCCTTCATTTCCCCAATCTCACTCGTTATCTGACAAAGAAGTTGTTAATTAAGAACCTTCATTTACACTTCAAGCCAACCATGTATTCTCATCAGGAAGGCGGCCCATTCCCGCTTCTACACTAATTATCTTATCACAATCATCCTTGCTTACTACTAGGATGGGGTCCATTCCCAAATTTCATCTTATTTCATATGCAGAAAATACTCTCAAATAAAGTCATCCAGGGCATCTGGAGTAGGACCGCTTAGATAATTCAGAGACTTAAGATAGTAAATATTATCGGGCTCCCGGCCAGATATGTGTGTTTTACTTTAACGTGTTATCGTGTTAACTGGAGCTTTATAAGTCTCTATACTTTAATAGACCTCGCTTAGAGGCATAGGCTTTCAGTTTCCCTTTTTAGTATATCCTATCTATAATAAATCTTTAATAGGCTTTTGAAAAGCAAATATACTTTATCCTAAGAATATAGAGAGATAGAACCGCTAATTACAACTTCGTGGCTTAAATCTCTGAATGAAAAAAAGTCTTCTTGACACAAAAGAATAACAGGAGACTTATGTCGCTCTGTTCAATGTATCTTGCAAATCCAATTCAAACATATCCAGGAACTCAGGTGTCTGGAAAGACTCTATCCCAAGCTCATATCCACCCAAGTCTCCAATTTCATCAAACATATCAGATCCCATCCCAACACAAACGTCTTGAGCCTCTAGATTTCCTTTCTTCTCTGTAAATACTTCATCGTTGCTAATAGCAGAAGTCCCGCTTTTAACAGGAACATCAACACCAACAAAAATGAGGCTCGGGCTAGAAACCTGCGATGTGGCCAGTAGTAGGCTCAGTGAAGAGTCCTCTGCATAACACCCAACAGCCAACGAGAGATCAATCGTCCGCGAGAGGCGGAAATAGAGAATGGGCTCCTTTAATAAGAACTTTCCCCAGTCGTCAGCTACCTGGACCGATGTAGATGGCTTGGAGCAAATTGCACTGCTGGGGGCGAAATCAGCCCTTGATGAACAGGTATCCAAGGTACCAGAGGTAGCAGAGTCAATAGCAGATCTGATGAAAGTCCACACATCGTCAACACCATCATAAAGGTTCTGTAGTCCTTTCATCGTCTCCATGTATATGTTAAGTCTACCTTGTTTCCGGGCTGTCTGCGAAGGTAGTTTTGCGAGCTTGACATCGAGGATGTGCAACACAAGTGGTAACGCTGCGTACGCGACGCTGGTAAATGTTAGACCGGCTGGCGCTGGGGAAAGGGCTCGACTTACATGCTAACTGGAAGGAATCTGGCGACTTTGAGTTGAACTAGTTCCTTAAGATTGTCCGTGATTCCTAGTGTAGCATCTTCCAGTCGGAACCGTGTCTGGTGTAACTTATCGTCCATACCAGCTCCTGGAGAGGTAAGACTGACGAGAAATGCCTCGTATTGGTATAGCGCGACGCGGGCGGAGCTTGAGAGAAGATTATGGTTAGTAAACAACGACTGGCTGCAGTGACAACTTACTAATAGTATATGTACATCAAGTTCGTATATAGAACGAGCGACTTCTCAGTACTTATGATCCCAGCAGGGGTAGGGAACAGGATAGTCGCTTTGTCAAACCACGCATCCAAGCTGGCCTCACAGAATCTGATCGATTGATATATTTGCTCCTGATTGCCGATCATGGGGGGTATAGCGTCTACAGCGGATTGTCCCATCCCGTAGACTGTCTGGACCACGCTGGTGAATGGAATCGCCAGTTCGCAGAGGCTGATGAATAGCTGGACCAAACTCCGTTTGGTTTGCGGCGAGTATACTTGTGATCCTTGGATTTCTTCCGCAAAGTCTCCTTCCGTTAAATGGTCCAGAGCTGGATTTATCGAAGTAATATGCAACTGTCTCCGAACACCGAGCGGCAAGATCCGATCTCGCACTATGCAACACCACCAAAGCCGCTTCAATCTGTTAGTCATATCCGAGTCTTGATCTAGCCTTTTGTGATATTGGTCGGCTTCTGCACCCTGAGCATATTGAATAGCTGTTGCAAGCAAGATGGAGTTTGTACGCGCTCGGTCTCGGGTGGTGGCGTAGTAAGTTAGTAGCAATGCCCCTTGCGCGTTGGACACGAGGTCTCTGCCAGAACATATATCCAATAGAAGCTATAGAAAGGTCAGCCTTAAGATCACAATGCTGGATGCAATAGGTTACCTTGGCCCGGCGATAGTATTTCTCTCTAGCATTACGCCTGGAGGTGAACCCAAGACACTTTAACGTCGAGAAAGGGACGAACTAATAATAGTTAGCCACAACCATGATAGAATCTTGCAGAGATCACTTACACTGCATGAAGTGAATAGCATCGCCTGCAACAAGAATAGTGAAATCTTTGACCCTTCACACGGCTCCTTGTCCCCAGAGTAAACAGCCCAGAACTGGGCTTCGTCCAACAGAGGAAGACCGGGATGCACATGAAGAAAATACTCTCGGATGAAGTCATCCAGAGCGTCGGGAGTAGGAAGACTCAGACAATTCCGAGATTCAAGATAGTGAACATCATCGGGCTCCAGGCCAGACATGTCGACGGTAAGGAATGGGTAATAGGAGTATGTAATATGTGACCTGGAGTTGGGTCCTATACTCTGACGTGCACACGTGTCATCTGAAGCCTTGTAGGGTTCAGGATCATGATTTACTTGTCTTCGAATCACTGGCTGCTGGTTTGCCTTTTCAGTGTACCTCGTAGCTGTCAAGTCCTCTATGTTATCAAAGCACGTCGATGGGCTCTCGGGGTTATGATCTGGCGGACTCTCAAAGAGTAAAGACATTTGATCTAAATAATACGGAGAGATCTGGCCGGTGACTGTAGAGTCTTTGCTTTCTTGTTGCTGTTGGAAGCTATTTCGAAACACCATTGGTTTTGGTCTCTCGGCAATAGCTGGTGATCTCTTGCGGCTTTTCCTATCAATAATCGGCCATACCACTAAAAGAAACAACTTACTATTTGGCCCTCCGGGCTACGACTGTGCATTCAGTATCATCAAGCGCGCAATTGGTACACCGTTGTGGGTTCCGGACAACATCGCAGCGGACTTTCCTGACGCGACAGTTCATGCAAGCTTTGGAGGCTCGTTTTGGCGCAGGCGCTGATTTGGGGGTCTGCGATTGCTGCATGGTTGAGCTACAATTGGTAGTATGTGTTATGGCGAAGACTGATAATGGAAGTTCAACTGGGTAAACCAGAGAAGGGGACCCAGCTGGCCGGAGAGTTTAAACGCGGGGTAGCATTTCGCGGGGTCAATCTGGGGAAGCTGGACAGGCTGCAAGAAAGCAAAGTATATTCTAGCATTAATGCAGTGACTCGGACTCCTAACCCGTCTAGTCAGACCACTTCCTTACCGTCCCTAGCACAATGACCAGTAAGCGCTGTCATAATATCACTAGCCTGAGAACAAACTTCACCGGAATCTTCGGTCTGTCTCGTAAATCACAAGGTTTAAACTGCTGATCAGTACGACACTCAATCTTGGCGACCTGCAGTGGGTGTCATGCTCCAACTACAGGCCAATCGCTTGAAACCAACCATTCCCCGCCGGCTCAAAATTTCTGCCGAGGGTGAAATTTCGACCGAAAATCTCCTAATCAGGATAAGTTCACCCGCCAATTGATCATAGACGAGGACTGGGATCCTTGCTAGCAAAGCCATCCTTGATCAATCGCCGAAGAATCTTGCCAGACGGGGATTTTGGAATAGTATCGGTGAATACGATACCTCCTGTGATTCGTTTGATGGGCGATAGACGCTTGTCCATGAATGACAGGATGGACTCAGCTGTCGTATCTGGCCTCTTCCTGACGATGTGCGCTTGGGCATGTTCCTGTCCGTCACTGCAGCCGGGGTTGTCAGCAAAGTGTTATGACAGGCTAGCGATGTACTCATACCGTAGAACACGAATAACGGCGCAGTCTAGGACACTTTCGTGCTCTAGAAGATGGCCTTCCAATTCTGATGGTGCGACCTGAAATCCCTTGACCTTGATGAGTTCCTGGTATTCACCGTTAATGCGCGCCATGAACGAGTTACTGGGGATACAAACCTTTTTGCGATCCACAATGGTGACCAATCCAGTCTTGTCAATCTTGACTATGTCTCCAGTCTTGAGCCAGCCATCATCAGTGAAAGCCTCCTTGGTAGCAGCAGGGTTATTGTAGTAACCCTTGAACACATTGGGTCCATTAAGTATAGCCTCTCCTTCTTCCTCGTAGCCAAGAGCCTTGCCATTCTCATCAATGACCTGAAGTTGCATATTGGCCACCAGGTATCCAACGCTTCCATGGGAGGGATCAAACTCATCTGGCCCAAAGATCGAGACCGCCATGGTAGCCTCACTCATGCCCCAGCCTTGTCGGCTGCGGGCGCCCGTCTTGCTGAAGAGTGCCTCGAGTCGTTTTTCGACATCCGCCTGGAGCGGTGCTGCTCCACAGACAAGGAACTTGACACTGGAGAGATCGTACTGAGAGACAAGGGGACTTTTGACGAGCATAGAGACCACTGGGGGCGCAAAGATTAGGGAAGTCACTTTGAACTTCTGGATCGTGCTGAGGAATGACTTCAGGTCGAACTTTGGCATGACGACGGTGGTGCAGCCTCGTTTTACGTTCAAGATGCAGAAGGTGATGAGGCCCACTAAGTTCAATAGTCAGTTCATGTCACGACCTTCAAGTAAGCGGAGTGACCTACTAGCATGGTAAAATGGGAGAAAGGCGCAGTGGACATCGTTGGCTGCAAAGGTCGGGTCATTTTTTCGCTTCCTCGCCACGCGGTCAAGATGCAGATTCTGCTCCGCATTGGCGACCAAGTTACGATGGGTGATCTCACAAGCTTTCGGGAGACCGGTCGTGCCACTGCTGAAATTGAGAACAGCTGGTCTAAGAGATGTGTCAGTATTTGTGGACTTGGAACAAACTCCGTTGGCATCATACTTATCAGCAAGAACTTTGGGGTCTGAAATCCTCTTCCAAGAATACGTTCCGTGACCTAACAAGCTTTGGAAGGATGAAGCGCCATCGACTGAGCTGCCGTGCTTGGAGTCGATAAGAACCAAGGAGCCGGGTGGAAGGCCTGCAGTCTTTGCGGCTTTCTTGGCCATCTCAAGTCGGGAGCTGTCGGTGACAATGCATTTGGCTCCCGAGACGGTGAGCTGATTAACCAGTTCTGTAATTCTTAGCCAATGCCGGATTATCAAATACCTATATCACCCAGTGACTGCTCACTACTTACCAGAGTATGTGTATGTCGGATTAGCTCCAGTGAAGACGCCCCCGGCTGCAATTGAGGCGAAGATCACTGCTGGATAGAGGATCTGCAATAGTTAGCCGAAGGAACCGCGCGATGGGCAAAATAACTCACAGAATTCTCGCAGAACCCCAAGACAACATCGCCATCTCGTATCTTGAACTTGTGTCGCAGCCCAGCAGCTATGGATTCAACCATATGCCTGAACTGTACTTTATTGAGTTGTTGCGTCGCGTCATGAGCCTCTACATATACAGGCTTTTCTGACGAGGCTTGTTGTGACTCCTCCGATGATAAATCTTGAAAGTATTAGCAACTGCTAAATCCAAAGGTCAAATAGCAGGTACATGCCGAATATGTAAGTGAGGAGGTCGACCTCGGGAATAGGAATCTCATATCTAGACGTGAAGATCATGGTGAAGATTTGGAGGTAGTCGTACAAGATAGGAATTGTTAAAATGCTGTGATAATCTGTAGCTAAATGACCGACACTGTAAATTAATATATTTAAATAGCCAAGAATTGACAGGTCTTGTTGCAACCGCTTCCCTTCCTAAAGAAGTCGCTACTGTTTGCCATGGGTAAATTGCGGCGGGAAATTTAGCCTCGGCTTAATTTGGTGCCTCTATCACCAAGTCGCGAAGCGTCACGCGACCATTGACGGCCGAGGGAGTAATAGACGACCCTAAGAGATGGAAACATGGTCCAAGATTCTACTGAAGTTACCTAGTTTATCCTAAAGTCGCTTTAATTGATCTTCTCCTTTTCTTTTCTTTTCTTTTTTTTGTCAAGATATCTCGACGCACATAATTTGCGTCTCTCAAGGGCACCAGCGCAACACGTCTGCCAACGAGTGAGCTACAGCACAGACTATTTATTAACCGACTTTGCTGGATAGGCAACCAAATACTTTGCCCACTCGAAGGTATCGTCGCTCGAAACGGGCCGTGAGTGACTTTAAAAGGAAAATCGTTTCAAAGCAAGACGAAGATCTGGGTTCACATTGAAGATGTAGAACTTCTCTACGACGAGATTGTTGAGTGGGGTCGTGATACGAAAGACGCTGGAAACGAGGTGGCTACACACATTGAACATGGTGTGCCGCATTACATGGTTGAGAGTGGCTATATCAACGGGTTTCGAAAGGAAGGGAAGTAAGACACCAAAGCTGCGGCGAAATCGTTGCCACCTGAATTCCAATTGACACCACTTGTTATTCGTCAAACAACCGCATGTGCTTTGGACCTTCTAGCATAGACGCATTAAATTCATACTGACTATCTTACATGCGTAGTCCATAGCTCGACATCACCTCCTTTATCGAGGAACTTCACCTTCAGTCGGTGCATTGACAGAGTGAGCATCTGTTGTCTTGGTCCCGTCGTGCCGCAGTATGCTCTCCTGCGAATCCAGCTCCGCAGCCCCAGACCCAAGATACTTCACGTTCGTCATGTTCCCTCGGTCATCGCTTCGCAATTTCCTGCTGTCGCTGAGCTCAATGTTGGAACGAGCTTGGCCGGTTCGGGAGTTGCCGTAGTTCTGGTACCCGGAGGAGTTGTAGTTTTTGTATCCGGGGGAGGATCCAAAGGCTCGGCGACCCAAGAGGGCGTCTACGAGGGGTTGAAGGACTGGGATGCAGCACGCGATGATGATGGTGCTTGCCTCGATGCTAGGAGACGCGAAGTTAGTGGTCGTTCGTATGCTAGCACATGTTATGTTACTTACACAGTCCAGATGACAAGGTCGGAGGTCTCATCTGCTACTTGTTAGTCTAAGCACTCAAAGCAGGATACATCACCTACAAGAGAAGTCTTTACTTGCAAGCGATGGCAGACGGGTGCATTTGTAGATGGCGACAATAGTAGCACTAGAGATCGAGATCAGCATATCCATTGTTTCTATGCAACAATGCGACGCCTACATTGAGCCGATACCCAAAGCAAACGACAATGCAATCTTCTTTCGCTTGTTCATTTGGAGATGGAACAACACCACCGCGGGATACACAGCAAGGTACAAATCCGTAAATGCAGACAAGGCTGACCGAATGTCAGTAAAGCGTTTGTGACATAAGCACAATCTACCTACCGCCGGCAAAAATGGCAAAGTTGACAAGAACATAAGGACTCCAGCACTTCTTATCGGTGATAGAGAAAGTCCATTGAGACTCAACAGGAGAGCATTGGGCAAAGAGAATGATGATGCACCCGATCAAGCCCATCATGCAACATCCAGCAAGCACCCAAAGAAATATTTTGTGTAATCGTCCGGGATTCATAAGTCGTGTGATGAGCGCGACGACGGCGAGCTTGGGAAACCCAAAGGCCATGACGCCAAACGGGAAGCCCAAGATGGTGTACAGAATGACATTCTGCTGCTGCGTCACGTTTAGAAGATCGAAGTGTCTGCCATTACCATTTTTGACAGCCACAACTGTAACACCAACTTGGCACCATTCGAATATCTCATGACGGTTAGCGACACACAGACGGAGAAGGCATGAGAACAAACCACTGCAACAATTGTGAACCAGTCATCGAGGTGCAAAGCTCCTATGATCCTCTTTCGAGTATACACACGACCAGCCACAAAGATGGTACTCAGAATAGAGACGGTGATGACTAGACCCAGAATTGTCGGACCCTTATCAGCGTCAAGATACGCCTGCGTGTGATGGGGAGGAGAAGACATTGTCTGCCAAGCGCACACGTATACGAAAAACACTCAAGAAGGGAAAGAAAAAGTCTCATTCACTCATGGTGGTTGGGTCAAATCCAGAGGATTGGGTCTTATGTCCTGCAGGAACAAGAGACATGTTTGCAGAAAGGGGGGGCAGGGCCGTGGCACAGCGAGCCCAAGCATGCTATGCCATGGATCATCGAACCTTTTGTTACGAGAAGCCGGGATCAGATTTTGTCGAGGTGCAAAGGATTTTTGTTGATACGACTCTGGTGAAGGATTGGCAACCATGATGCCGCATTCGCCGAAACAGTGCTTTTTCTGTCTCTAAATGTGTCGACATAAGGAACATAAGGACCTTCGAAATGGTCAAGTCTCGCAAGGTGGGCAGACTTGAGGTAAAAGGACAAGGTTGTCGGTGGAGTGATGTTGCAGATTTCGACGCGTAACCAACAACCAACGACCAACAACTGTTACTGATAGTGGGGGCCATTTCCGCTTCCCCGAATTCGACGGGGGGAAAAGAAAACCCAGGACCTTGATCTAAAGGAGAAAGAATATTTAGGTAAATTAGTATATGTTTAGCCTACTTCTAGCATACCTTTGCTGGGTTTGTTTTGACACTCTATATCAAGGTCTAATGTTTTCTTGCTCCCTTGAGGTGAGACTCAGGGGTTGACATGTCGATCCAAACCCTCCGAAGGATCTGTCGCCAAGGATTGTTATAACCCTTGCTTGACACTTCAGAACAACCTGATATGACAATTTTACTTCTTCAGTCCCTGCCCTGAAAGACAATTCCTGGCATTCTGCTCAGAACACTGTAGTCGGGAGGGTGTTAGCTATTAAGATAGCTAGGCACTTAATTATTGAGTATCTGCGGTTTACCGCGTACTTATACCAAGTTCCTCGTATATTCGGCTTTTCCCGGTCGTCATTTTGCTTGGCACCCTGGGACCCAAAGCAGCTTAATTGGCGAAGCGGGCCAATTTCCCGGTGCTACCTACAGTTCGCTCCGCTCTTGGCGACCACGTTTCTCCATAACATACTCCGTGCTTTCTGATATTTGAGTCTCTTCTGTATCATATGCAAATAGGCAATGAATAGATATGCTCTTCTGTCATTTTTGAACATATAATATCCCTTCCAGTCCCAAGAAGTCATTGCTTCAGATGAGTATCGTTTCTTTCCAAGGCCTGCTCCGACTTCTCGCCATCACTTCGCTTGCGTTGAACCTTGTGTCAAGTTGTCGTCTCTTCCCCCTCCAGCAAGGGTTTGAGCAACTGTGTTGGTTCGACGTAGCACTCGGCGAACCCCCTGATCAGGATCATAACCATGCTGTTGGTTCAACGTTGCAACTGCTAGGTTCGCAACGGAGCTTTGTCCCAGATACCCGTTCACTTAACGCAGATCGCTCCCTGTGGTCTGTTAAACGTATCAATGTCGTCGTATGATCCAGTGATCAGCACTTGTAGACGAATCAGTACATCCTGTCATATCCTTGGTATGCAAAAGGTTTACCAGGAAGATGGTGTCAGGCCGTTTCGAAGATCTTCTGAATGCAACCCGAACGACTGGTCTCTACGAGGCTCCTCTTCCAAGATCTCAATTGGTCGATGTCGCAACCGATGCATGAGAATGGACCTGTAACGGTTGGAGGATTGGGGGTCTGCCAACAGCCAAGCTATCATGCCATGCATTGACGAGCTCTGGGCACTTCTGCTGCTTTCCTTTCTTTTTTATTGCTATTGATCCCTCCTGAATCACTCACTCACTGACACTGCCTTGCTTTCGTTTTCTCAAGTGGATCATAATTTTTATACACAAGGCATTTCTTTTCACAAAGTCCTTCATCATGGCTGACACAACTGTTTCTCATACAAACGGACATACTGTCCCGGAAACCGAATACCGCGGAACCGAGAAGAAGCTTGAAAGTTCTGTCTCAGCTTTGAGTTCCTCTGGATCTTCGGATGGTACCCCAGATGCCGTCAACGGTACCAAGTCGGAAGAGCCCGATGTATCCATTGCTCTAAACGCCGCCAACATTGACGCCGTCCCCTCTCTAATCAAAGAGATCAATGTTCTGAGTGGCGATTTAGATAGCGATGACCCGACAGCGCGCCTCAAACTCGTGGCTAAGGCCAAGAGCCTGTGGCAGTCACTCGAGACCCCCAGAGAGACCATGCTTCGCCATGTTTGGGCTGAGCCATCGCTTCACTGCGCTTTGACGGCTGGTACCGTCAAGGAAGTCTGGACTCACGTCGCCAAGATCAATGGGCCGTTCAAGGTCGCTGATGTCGCAAAGGAGAAGAACATTGAGCCTGCTCTTCTTGGTGAGTGCATTACTGTCTCGGTTTATGTACGATGACACTAATAACATGAAGCTCGTCTTGTTCGACATGTTTCGTCTATGGGATACATCACGGAGATTGATCAGGATACGTACCAAGCCACAAACTTCATCAAGTCTATGGCTTTTCCATTCATCAACGCTGGCTATCCTTGCATGTAAGAACACCCCAGACTCTAGTGTATGTCCTGTGCTAACATCATCTCTAGTTCGGGAGCCTGTCTCAACGCTCTCGGTCAATTCCATGAATGGGCTGACATCAACTCATGGAAAGATGCAACTGACATAAGTAACTCTCCTCTGCAGCTTGGTTACAAGACAGAAAAGACTTTCTTCGAGCATCTTCACACCAACCCACCATACGGCCAGCTGTTCCATCTTCACATGGGCGGCTACCGCCAAGGTCGACCATCTTGGATGGATGCGGGTTTCTTCCCTGTTCAAGAAAAGCTTATTAATGGCTTTGAGAAGTCGGATGGCTCTGCTCTGCTGGTCGATGTTGGTGGCTCTTTTGGCCATGATATTGGAGAGTTCCACCGCAAGTTCCCCGATGCCCCGGGTCGTCTCATCCTCCAGGATCTTCCTGTCGTCATTGATCAGATCACGTCACTAGATAACAAGATTGAACGAATGAAGTATGACTTCTATACCGAGCAACCCATCAAAGGTACGCAGCCTCGTATTTATTGCGGAGATTCTTTCTAACTCCACGTCAGGTGCTCGCGCATACTACATGCATTCCGTTCTCCACGACTGGTCAGACGAGACTTGTCTTAAGATTCTGGGCCAAGTCAAGGCTGCCATGAAGCCCGGTTATAGCAAGCTTTTGATCAACGAGAACGTCATCCCTAATACTGGCGCTCAGTGGGAGGCTACAGCTTTGGATATCATGATGCTTACTCTTCTTGCGTCGCGAGAACGTACACAACAAAACTGGGAGAAATTACTCGGTGAGGCTGGACTGAAGATTTGTAACATTTGGACTGTCGCAAATGGAGTTGAGAGTCTGATTGAATGTGAACGGGTTTGAACAGATAGAATTCACAGAGCCAGCTGATGCTGAGTGATGATGGCTTCAATTGGCATAGAACATGATAGATCATAATTTCACAGCATCATGAAGAAGATAGTTCCTTAAAAGGTCCCAGAACTATAAAATTCGACAATCGTCCTCAATTACAGGTGCGTATGTCTCGAATAAAAGTAACCAGCCATTTTAAACCTCATCCGTTACTCCTCCCGGGAACATCATTTTTGAAGTGCGTCATCATAGTCTTGTTACTCAGTCTCTCCGTCTTCAACCTCATCTTCTTTTCCGCCCGACGAACTGTATCCAATTCCTTCTTCCTCTGCAGGAGAAAACTCCTCTGTTCTGACGATGTCAGATGTATCAGGCTCTGTTGGTCCTTGACGCTGAGCCGCGCTAATTGAGACGCAAGAGCGGCGTCCTTTTTATCTCTAGCTGTAAGTGCATCGGAAGCTGCGTGACTAGGAAGAGGTGCCCTCTTCTCCTCATTGTCTTCTTGGGGCGATGTTCGGCGTGGTTTTGTGACGGGAGCATCACGATGTGAAAGAATCTTGCCAGATGAAAGCCGAAGACTCTCGTTATCAACTGAAACCGCGTTTTCTCGGCCATGAGCCTTCAGACCCTCGAGGTCATAGAACTCCTGCATCTCGTCTGTCAACTCAACCCTGCAGTGGCCTTTGTCTCTCATATGCTGCTGGATTCCCTCTACCGTCCGTCTCCGTGTTCCGCAGTAGATGCACTCGCGGTATGTAGCCACTAGGAAGTAGAGATACCATATCACAGTCTCCAGATCGACGGTTAATTGGTGTCGAAACGGGATCCGAAGACCGTGAGCTGTTTCCATGTGAAGGAGGTTCTTATCAAAACTTTCGTCGCTGTGCGTGCAAATGATGCATTTTGTCGAATCAAACTCAGGGATCACACTGCTCGAAGTGTCGTCTCCGGTTTCATCGTCACTACTAGAGAGCTCGTCTTCCGGGTCGTTGCTTGTATGCGAAAATGTATCGCTGTCCTCGGTTAGTTGCTCGATTAGACCTGATGCAGCCGCACGATTCCTCAAGGCTTGGACACTGGGAATATGTCAGGACGCACGTGCTTCACATTACATGCATGTGCTGAAACTTACTGAGCCTCACTCTTGGCATGGACTCGATGCTCCAGACTGTTGTCAAAGGAGACATCGCAAAGTGAACAAGACGGTTTCGTTGATGTCATGATTGGAAGTGAATGTGGTGGTAGATTTGCAGCAATTTTTCAACAAAATCTTTGTGAAGAACTCAGCGCGAGTCTTGCATTTAAATAGCCATCTCGAATTATGCTTCAGATGCGATAAAGATGCTGATGATCGCGTGACTCACTGCCGGGTGGGGCTGTCTCGATCAGGAAGCTGTTCAAGGATTTGCTGACGCTGGATAAATTGAACCTTGTCAGTCATTATGATTCATCCATCATCAGCCAAATCCAGACAGTCAGGTACTTTGCAAGAGAAGTCACTGACTGTCAGAAATTATTATACGATAGCTGTTTGGATGGCGACATGACGCTATGGAGGGAAGAGTAGCCTCACCTTAACCAAAGGTATGGCCTTATATGAGGTTTGAGGTTTTGGGCAAAAGTCAGAAGTTTAGCATG